TCAGGGCCTTGAATAAAGAGGAACAGGGAAAGAATGTTTACAGCGTTCAAATACTGAGTGAAATTCTGTAGTGTTATGGATTAGGAAGGATCAGGTTGGTCCCACTAGACCTGAGTATAACTAATAGCAGACCTTTTATCAGCGCTAACTTGTATTAAAGGGATACTAGGCAGTTATGCTTGCTTTTATCACCCCTAGTGTCCTCTTCTTTTAAACATCTTAATCTACCAGTACAAACGTCTCCCAGCGTTCCTAGTAGTCTACAAGAGGGATTCATCACTAAATAAAAAAACCAGCAGATGAAAACATTGCAAATTGTCCCTCAAAAACTCTAAAAACTAAATTGGATGTGACTTACCCTAACGGTTTGGGCCTAAAATAAGAACAAACTTGGGCAATCCTATCTGAACGCTTATTCAGTCACAACGTAAGACCCTGTTTATGGTATGGTTGTGAGTGTGGTGTACGGCATTTCAAACGAGGTTTCTGAGTTGGAGGTGTTTGACTCCGTGTGTGGGGCGATAGTGGGGGCTGTTCGGCATCTGGGGTTTAACGCACGTGATGTCAGGGCTATGGTCTCATTTGCTTAGTTTAGGTTCATCTTACTGAGCAGTTTTGCTTGCTTTTATCATCCTCTAGTGTCCATTTGTAGCAGCGAATATCTCCTCGCTGTGCGTTCTCCTTTTTTAACACCTTAATCTACCAGTAGAAACGTCTCCCAGCATTCCTAGTTGTCTACTGGAGGGATTCATCACTAAATTAAACAAACCAGCTGGGTTCATAATCTAAAACTTGCAGGACAGCGGACCGGGGATGAGAAGCACTGTGTTACTCAAAAAAGTAAAAGGGGACGGGAATGCCAAACTCTAAATATAAACTGGATAAATTGCATTTCTTGTGGTAATGCTGTTTAATTGCTGACAGCTCAGCAGATCCATTGGTAACGTGTTGTGATTTTAGTGTTGGGGGCGAACTGGAGCTCCCAGAGAAAACCCCCATGCAGCACAAGGAGACAGAAATAATCTGTTTCCTGTGAAAACTTGTGCTGCAGTATTTTTTATTTTGTTTGGGTTTTTTTGTACTCCGTGGTTCAAGGAGTTACTTCCTTGATGCAATCAACTACTCGGCTCTCTTCACATAATAATAACTAGACCATTCGGCCGAGCCGCTCCTTTTGATGTATAATTAGTGGGGGTACCAGTAGAAACGTCTCCCAGCGTTCCTAGTTGTCTACTAGAGGGATTCATCACTGAATTAAACAAACCAGCTGGGTTCACTATCTAAATCTTGCAGGAAATATCCTGAAGCCAGACAGCAGCGTCAGGAACCTCAGCTCAATTTTTTCTAAGTCTCAGCAGACCGCACCGGAAACGGTGAAGTTGCAAGTGGACTATTCTGGCCGTGGGGGGGGGGGGGCGATAGGGGCTGGGTGGCCTTTCATTATCCCTCTAAAGGGTCACTATAGCACATAAAGGCTCAAGAAAATTATTTAAAAATACAAATTTGTTGAAAATTGTCCCTCTACTTCAACCTTGATCAAACATTCTAAAAACTAAATTGGACGCAACATACCCTAACGGTTTGGGCGTAAAATAAGAACAAACTCGGGGTGTCCTATCTGAACGCTTAGGCATTCGGTCACAACGTAAAACCCTGTTTATGGTAATAGTCTGAGTGAAGCGTTTGCTCTCTGTAAATATCGCCACAACAGTGTGATTTAACCGTCATGTGTATGCAGAGAAAATGAGCTTTCTGATTTGTGACGTTTCCACACTGTTAAATATGTTCCACCTGAGCTTTTCTACTTGATTCACTCATCCTTGCTTGGTCTTGGCTGACCGTCTTGCCCTTGCAAGTTGAAACTCTTTATGAGCCAGTTTATTCTTCAGCTCTCCATTCTCTTTCTTTAGTTCAGCGAATTCTACTATAACATCAGCGCACTCTTTCTGCAGTTCAACTTGCAATTTAATTTTCGTCAATTCAAACTGCTTTTTGAGTTCAATGATTTTATGTTCAAATGAGTTTCTGACGCTCTCCACATCTCTTTTGTGGTTCTCCAGTTCATTCTGGTGGCCCTCAGACCACGTTAGAAACCTGGACAACTCTTCATCTTTGCTGTCTACATACATTCTCATTATATCCAAAAATGCTGATTTAAATTTGACTCTGCTATCTATTACTTTATGACAGCTGGTCAGATCTCGCTTCATTTTCAGAAACTCGAATTTCAGAGGCTCCACTTGTCCCAGGATTTCTGTATGTTTCTTGTGTAACTTCTGGTAGTCCTCCAGGAGCTCACGGTGTGTGCTTGAATACTTTTCCTTTTGGGCAGCTGCTTCTAAAGCCACTTTCTGTTTAGCTATTTCATTACGCAGCTGTTTCTCCGTGCGTTGAGCCTGAGCTAACTTGTTTTGGCATTCTTCCAACATTGGATTCTGTGTCATTAATTTGTCCTCAAGGATAGCAATTTTCCTTTCTTTTGTTTGGAGTTCTGTTGAATGATTGTTTCTGGTTCCTCTGAGAAAATCCAGTTCACGAAGAAGTTTTTCTATGTCTCTAGACTGGTTCAACCTAACTTCTGTCATTTGCATAATTATTTTTTCATACCTGTCCACTCTTGTGTCCAAATCTATTTTCATTTCAGACAATTCCAGCTCATATTTTTTTCTAAGAGGTCGTTCAGTCAAGACTTTCTCGTTCAGCTGTTTATTTTTATTGCGGGTTTTACTGAGAATTGTCGTTAAGTTCTTAAGTTTGGTGTCATTTATTTGAATTTTCTTTTCTTTTGACCTCTTTTCTTCTTGGCATTGTGAGGTACAATTGGTGATTTTCTGGTCCAGCTGAACCTTTAATTCTTCATTCCTTTGTTCCAATTTCATTATATTCTGCTTGGCTTCTTCAAGTTGACGTTCACAAACTCTAAACGGTGTGTTAAATCTGTCTGAATATTTTAAGTCCTGTAATTCTTTTGATAATTCTTCTACCTGCTGTGTCAGATCCTCAGTCCTCTGACGAAAACACTCATTTAATCCAGTAGATTTGTCTAAACTCTCTTTCAAACTCTCTAATGCTTTACATGAGCTTGTCTCTCTCAATGTCGTGAAGGCATTATCCAATGTCTGATATTTATTTTCCATGGCTCTGATTGTCTCCTGGAGAGTAGAAATTTGAGAAAGGAGTTTGTCTTCAGCAAGCTGTTTTTCGTCTACAACAAGCTGTTGTTCCTCTAATTTCTGTTGCAGGATTTCTACCATACGTTCAGCTTCTCCTGGATCGGAGACTTTCTTTGACCATTTCGACAAGGTCGACCCTAAAATGCGATTATATTTACGATTTATGTCTTCATATGACTTTGTGAGTTCTTCAATTTTCAAAGTCAGTTTCTGTTCTGTACTCTTTTTCTCGTCTAAAGTACGTTGCCAAGTTAAATTAGAGCATTTAGAAAGTTTCTCAGCCGTTTTCAGATCCCCTCTAAGTTTTTTAACTTCTTCATTGTGGGCCGCCTTCATCAGCGCTATTTCCTCGTTTTTCTTTTGTAAGATAGACTCCAATTCCTTTATTTTAGAAGGCATGTTTATTCCTCTTCTCTCAGCGGCTAGCTGCGAACTGTGGTGTGTGCTAGTTGTGTGCAGTCGGTAAGACGGCTGTCTTTGATGACGTCACGCGCTCTTTGCTTTAATTTGTCACGCGTCACGTGATGTACGGTCGTCCAGCGTCAGCGTAAGAAGTGATCGGTACCACGCATGCGCGACAGGCGTCTACTTCCGCTCGAAGCATTTTACGATAGTTACGGGTCAGAGTATCTGTTAAGACGTTAAAAAATAATAAGTATCTATTAAAATGTTTGCAATAGTGAAACATTTCAATATAATGTAGATAAAAAGAAAAAAAAAGAAAACGTCGGACCGTACAGATCGGGTCTACCGCGCATGTGCAGATGCTATATTCGTCTTGTGATCCGTTCAATGGCAGTTTACTCCGCAGTGTACGAGGATACTGCCACTTGCTGACCGAGCGAATAAGCCCGATTGTAAACTGAATTTGCGTTGTTACAAATCGTGTTTTTACATGCGTGTTAAATTTGATTTAGTGTGTTTATGCTTGTATGTGTGGAGACGATTGATTTGAATTATCTTGATGTTCTGTTGATAATGTTCACTGTAAATTGGCTGATTAGTCTTCAGGTAACCTATTACATGTTTGTTTTTTCTCCACACAATAGGTTATATTTTCATTTAAAAGCTGAAAATATGTCACTGTGATACAGCAGATATTCTTAATTTGCACTACATGTCCTATGAATGTTTTCCCATATGAAATGTAATATATTCTTGCACAAAAGCCAATTTGGCTCATCACCTAAAATTTTACTTTCTACTTTTGTGTTAGATTTCTTAGTTTGCCACTTTGTCTTGAAATAACTTAATTCTTTGTAATACCATAGTGATCATTTTCACAATGTTGCAAAATTAATGTTTGAAAATAGTTTCTCAAGGTATTCATAGGTTAAACATGTTAAATACAGATTTAACTACACTCATGTTTATATCCATATAAAATAACACAGGTCCACTTTATAATTTCCACAGGTTTACTGTAATAATGCAGAACACAAACAACAGATTACAAGAGCATGAACAACAGAAAAAGGATTGAGAGGATGGTTACAACCCAGATTATTTGAATAAGGAGACACATATTGATGGAAATAAAAAGCTTTTTATTTTCAGCCTGTCCTTTCTGGCAGTGTGGTACTCTGAGTACCAGGTACAAGCCCAACAGATTCACTTTCTCAAACAGAGTGTTACAGTGTGTGTCCTGTCACAGTGTCCCGATTGATCATGCGCCCTGGCTACTTGACCAAGGGGATGTCCCTTTGGCTGACTGGTTAGAGTGTATGACTCTCACCCGGGAGTCTGGAGATCGAATCCCGCCCGGGCCCTCGTTTATCCACCTTGCCACAAGAGCATTACAGTTTTTGCTATAGAACTCCAAGAAGAATGATCAAAAACTCTCACAAAGAAAAACAGGCATCAAAGCACAAACCAAGATGTGGGAGAACCACTGATGGGGAACCTGGTCACTACAACCAGTGTGGTGTGTGTGTGTGTTCTTGTACATACTACATACTGAGGACCATTTTGACCATTTTCCCTACAAAGTGAGGACATTTTTTGGTCCTCGCTTTTTTTAGAAGCATACCAGAAGCTTACTATACCAGTTAGAGGCATAGTGTGAATTAAGTTTTAGTTAAGGTTAGGGTTAGGAAAAGATAAGCGTTGGTTATGGTTAGGGTTGGGGTATGGGTTAGGCATGGTGAAATCACAAAAATGAATGGAAGTCAATGAAGGGTCCTCACTATGATAGAAAGACAGACGTGTGTGTGCGTGCGTGTGAGTGTGTGGTTGTGTGTGGAGACGGGGGTGGCGACAGAGCAGACACATTAATTGTTCATTTGGCTGCAAAAGTGGCTGCAGTAGCCTGGGAGCATCTCCTCCGAGTAAAGTGCCCTTGGTTCTCCTCTTTTTCCTTTCCCTTCCCCAGGTCATCACCATGGACAGGGAAGCTTGCCGGAGGGCAGTGGAGAGGTTATGCTTCTGTGATGGCCTAGATGAAGAGGAGATGAACGATTGCAGGGAACCGTTCCTGTTCATGTTTAGTTTTCAGTCAGACTATGAGGAGTTCTGCAGAGAAATTGAGGAAAAAAGGAAGATCAGGGTGTTTTCTGGCTTTGAAATGCCATAGTACAGCGGTGTCACAGTTTTTGCATTCTTTTTCCTCCTCACATTGTTTTTTTGGAGGTTCTCTTGCTTTTTGTGTGCTTTTTGGTTCATTTGTTTGTACTTTTTTTTTCCTGTGTTGGCTGTTTGCTCTATTAAATTTACCTTTATTGAAAAATTTAGTCTGCATTCTTGGGTGTCTCACACAATGTCTCACCACCCCGCCTCAAACCCTGGCATGTTTTAAGAAGTATCAGCACAATTTAAGTCTCTGGTCCTCTTAATGTAGCTGATATAACTGAGTGTACAACAAATTTACCCGTGTCTGTACTGTTTTACACTCACTTGGGAAATGACTATTAAAATAAAGGCGGCATTGATAAAATCAACTATTAAAATGGTTTTGACAGGTTTAAAGAATAGTCTATCAAATGCCTGAACCTTTTATATAGGTACCAAAAGTATAGCTAAAAGACACAAATACCTATGTGCTATAAATACACATACCATACAAAAGTAGAAAAAAGAATAAAAATATCAGAACAGATTGGATCAAAAATGGCACCTGTAATTATCTGCTCTTTAAAATTATCATGACATCCAGCAAATAAGTCATTTGATTACCAATGTTATGCTTTACATGGGTTTTGTGGGTTTTTAGGGCTTTTTAATCCTTAGAAAGGCAAGAGCATCTGGCTGCAGACATCAGCTGGCGTCTTTGCCGTGACAGGAAATGACGTATCCGGAAAATTAAGTGTCATTACCTTCGCCGGAAGTCATTACCTTCGTCGGAAGTAGATTTTTTTCGGGTCATTACCTTTGCCGGAAGTAGTTTTTTTTTTCTTGAATACGCTTTATTGACAAAGCACAAAAGAAGTTTGGATTTGTCAAAACCATACCGTGTCGTTTTTCTCTTCGATTTGTACACATTTAAGAGAAAAATTACACGGTGGGTCATTACCTTAACCAGAAGTCATTACGTTCACTGGAAATAGTTTTTTAAAAAACAAAACTTACCGGAAAAAGCTTTTTATTTCGGATTTTTTTTTTCTCTTCAGATCTGGACTGGCAAACTTAAGTAACATTGTTACCTGCGTTGCATGAAAATTGAATATTAAATCCCTTTGTTCTTCAGACAGGGAATTTTTATGACAGTAGCACATACATACATACATATATATATATATATACATACATATATACATATATACATATATATATATATATATATATATATATATATATATATATATATATATATATATATATATATATATACACACACATATATGTATATATACACACAGACAATAAAAGGCTGTAAAGTGAATTAAAAAAAACATATGGAAAAAATGAGAACACGTTAAACTAAGACTTTTCAAAATGTGCAAACAAAATAGTACTGGCTAAATATTCAGTTTTATTGTTAAGCCCAAGATGAACTTTTGACCTACACCAATGGCTAAAGTACAGGACTCCCAGAAGCAGTGAAAAACATTTCAGCAACACTCCTCTCTCACCAGCAACAAAAATTAGTTATTAAATATCCATAACACTGTCCTATTGTGTATCACAGCAGCTCATTGCAACACAATTTAACTACTACAGCTGATAACTATTTAGCTAGTTGGTATTTATTTTGAGTGAAAGACAATAAAACCAAAGAAACACTTGATTTCACAACCATTTTATTTTGGGTGCAAATGAATTTGCTGAAGCATGACTTTCTCAGCTGCATATCGATTCATCCCCTCCCATTTTTCCAACACTTTTATTGTTACCTGAAAAACATGCAGGATTACTTCAACGTCGTCGTCTTCCTCCGCTTGTCCGGGTCCAGGTCGTGGGGGCAGCATCCCAACTAGGGAGCTCCAGACCGTCCTCTCCCCGGCCACCTCCACCAGCTCCTCTGACAGGACCCCAAGGCGTTCCCGGACCAGATTGGAGATGTAACCTCTCCAACGTGACCTGGGTCGACCCAGGGGCCTCCTGCCGGCAGGACATGCCCGAAACACCTCCCCGGGGAGGCGTCCAGACCAGATGTCCAAACCACCTCAACTAACTCCTTTCGATCCAGAGGAGCAGCAGTTCTACTCCGAGTCCCTCCCGGATGTCCGAGCTCCTCACCCTATCTCTAAGGCTGAGCCCGGCCACCCTACGGAGGAAACTCATTTTGGCCGCTTGTATCCACGATCTTGTTCTTTCGGTCGTTACCCAAAGCTCATGACCATAGGTGAGGATTGGGACGTAGATCGACCGGTAAATCGAGAGCCTGGCTTTCCGGCTCAGCTCCCTCTTCACCACGACAGATTGGTTCAGCGTCCGCATCACTGCAGACGCCGAACCAATCCGCCTGTCGATCTCCCGATCCCTCCTACCGTCACTCGTGAACAAGACCCCGAGATACTTAAACTCCTCCACTTGAGGTAGGACCTCTCCCCCAACCCGGAGTTGGCAAGCCACCCTTTTCCAGTCGAGAACCATGGATTTGGAGGTGCTGACCCTCATCCCAGCCGCTTCACACTCGGCCGCGAACCTACCCAGCAAGAGCTGAAGGTCAGAGCTGGGTGAAGCTAGGAGGACCACATCATCCGCAAAAAGCAGAGACGAGATTCTCCTGCCACCAAACTCTGTTAAGGATTACTTCATACACTGTCAAATGTTTTCGAAAAGTAACTTTTATACCAATCACTGCTGAAGACTGCTTTGTACCTCTGGAACAAGGACATCAAACACCAAGTTCAGAAACTGGAACTCTCTCTTCTTCATTAGTTTATCTATTCCTGAGCATGAACCAATCCGCTCTGTCAGCTCGTCAACCTATAAAACACGTTAACATAAAAATGAACAAAACGTTCCTCTCAGCATTAGACAACGGACCCAGGTGGCCCACTGACCATGCATCCACATAAATAAATGTGATGCAGCTTATTGTAAGTCAGTATACATTTACCTGTGCATCAGCAAAGTGGAACATCAGTGGCTTTAGTCTTTGCTTTAATTTAAGCGAGACACCTGGATTGTGCCACAGATACATGAGGCCAGACTTCACTCCACCGCTGCAGAGATCCTTATACACAGTCTGAGTAGAGACAAGAGTTAAAAATAAGCAACATTACCACAGATAACAAGAGATTGCATTATCCTATGTCCAATTTTAGAGTCTTAATTTATTATAATTAAACATGACCTTGATTTCACCATCTGAAATCACTGCCTGGGTTCCATTTTTCAAAGCCTCGATTGTCCTGTAATTTAGATAAAAATACATCTTATTAGCAAATGAAGAATACAAGCACATGTAAGGAGTTTTGTCAGTGTCACTTGAAGAAGTCCGATATTCATTTTAGATCTATATTTAAGGCCTGTAACTCCTGAATGATTTGCAGCTACATGTGCTTAAATCCGGTAATATTAATATAAACCAAACCCGATCAAAGCAGTCAGTCGACAAAAATATCTATTTTTTATAAGGTTGGGATTATTCTGAAACAGAATCAGAAGGAGGGCGGCATTAATTAGAGAAGCGGCTACTATTTCAAAGTTATTGTACCTGTTGCAGGACACCTGATTTGTGCAACCACAGTAGAATGACCCAGCACACCACACACAATAACTGAAAAATATTTAGAGATATTGAAAGCTAAGCTTGTCCAGAAAATACATTTTATTTCTGGGTGCACAGGACCAGTTCCAGTGTGGGCCAGATGCTGAAAAATAAATTCATAAATCTGTCTTTTTGAAGTTTCACAAATCAGAGGAAGGTTTCACAAATCACAAACTATGTTTTATGCATTCCTACAAGCCCAGAATAATCTAAAACAGGTTTGAAGAGTGTATGTATTGTAGGTTTTGAGCTAGAGCAGAATAAAAATGGTCAGAGTAGAGAAAAATTGGGTGTATTAGCCCTTTAGCCATTTCCCGAATTGGAAGCTAACTTTAGCCTCGTATGAAAACTAGTGATTGAAACCACTTACAAATCTCTGAAAATCTACGCTTTTTAATTAAAAAAGGGTATTAATAACGTTTCAGTCAAGTCAGTATTAGAAATCGTGGTCTTTATATCATATCTAAATTATATATAAAGTTAAAATTATTACTTTAACTGTTTTAACAAACAGGGAGACCAGAAAAATCAAATAGCTAAGTTAAAGCTAAGCTACAGTTGCTGATAGCTTTATTTATGTAGCTTTTGTGTAAGCTAGCTTGTGATCTCCCTGCATTCGTTTTAAGACTGCGTGTTAATATTGATACAATTAGCTATGAAACACGGTGCCTTTGCAATAATTCTCTGGTAAAGCTTTAAACGCTACAGTGCCTACATTTAAGAACTAAGAACGGTTGCAACAATTAGTTAATTTCATCCTTATCTTTCTTTCTTTATCTATCACCTTATCCTTACCTTTCCTCAATTGAAACCCGCCGAGTATGGTTGAAACAAAAACAACGTAGAGGCCGCCAAAAAAAGACCAACTTCCTGCCGAGGTCTTTCGCTCGTCGATTTTCCGGTAAAAGTAATGACACGCCATCTTGCTCTAGACACACCAGCTGATGTCTGCAGCCAGGTCCTACTCTAGAAAGGGGCTACTCGCGGTTTCCTGGTTCCATTGAGAGAGGGGCAGGAGTCAAATAGTTGTCTCCACCCACCTCTAAACGTTTAACTCCGCCCACATTTAGCCCCGCCCCGATCTCCGGGATGCAGCCAGGGGCTACTCGTCTTCTCGTGGGAACGGGAGTTGCGGAGAGGCGGTGAAGACAAGCCGACAAAGCGTCACAACAACGGTACTGTGTCCCGAGTGTGACTCCGAAGTGGACCTCCCTCAGCAGGGTCCGGCCGGACTGAGTACAGACCACCTGGCGCTGGACGAAGTGTTCCTGGAGACCCTGGTGACCAACGGCCCGCTGGGATGCGACCTGTGCGGGGAAGGAGGCGCTGAGAGCCGCTGTGAGGTCTGCTCGGTCAACCTTTGCGAGTTCTGCTGCCAAGCTCACAGGTGGAGTAGGCCCAGACCTCCTAGCTTCATGTCTATTTATGTCACAATCAGATTGAAAAGTTTAGCCCACAGGTGGTGCACATTCTCACAAGCTCCTCATCTTCCTTCTCTGCTGTGCTACAGCTCTTGGGATAGAACCTTTCTAGAGTTGAAACAAAATCCAAATACCTCTAGTTTGGTACTAAAAATCACATTTTTTAAAACATAGATATTGAGTTGGAGAACATTTCAGAGTCCGACTTTTAAAGAGACTGCAGATATTGAGTTTTAGTAGCCGGAGGTAGAATTTATCTGCTTGGTGTTGATTAAAACTTCTGAGGATACCGTGAATCCTCTAATACAGGCCCGGGCCTGTATTTGACTCGAGCTCATCAAGCTCCAGGCCTTTATTGGAAGGGGGGGCAGTATTAGAGGCAGGCCTCTATTTCTATTTGAGCAAAATGAACTAATGGTTCGCTGGAGTTTTTGACAATTAAAATTGCGCCCACATTTTCAAAGTTAAACACATTTCTTTTAACAACGGTAGTTTCTGCTTCAGCCCTCTCCCCCCTCCCCCTGCGCAGCGGCCGCAAACTCACTGATGCACCTGCAGCCTCTCAGAGTTCCTGCTGCTCTAAACATTAAAATAATTATTTCATTTTCTGTTCCTCACTTCTGATTACCTTCAATGGTGTCTGTTTGTTGCAACCAGCAGGTACAAAAACTAACTTGTTTTTATTTGACTATTTTTCTGTCCTGTCTGTTTATTATCTTCCTGCATCTCCTCTCAATCCTAAAAAAAACTGCTACCTGGGTTCATATATATTCACCTCATGAGTTACCTTTGAACTGCAGTTCTAAAAGATCTACCGACCGCAAAAACAGCGGAGCGCTTGCTGTTTGGCGGCTGTATCAGTGATCAGTGCGTCGGAGGACAAGGTGATGCGCGCAGCGCCCCGCTCCACAGCATGCAGCGAAACGCATCAGCCGCAAATAAAAGACAGAAAACATTAAAGGAAATGAACTGACATGAACGATCGCGTGTTAAATTAGTTTTTGAGGTGGCGACACCTGATTGTTACTGTGGCCGTGCTCAGGAGGCAGATCTACCGACCGCGAAAACAGCTGAGCGCTCCCTGCTGTGATCTGTGCGTCGGAGGACAAGGTGAAGCGCCCCGCTCCACAGCAGCGATACACATCAGGCGCAAATAAAAGACAGAAAACATTAAAGGAAATGAACCGACATGAACGATCGCGTGTCAGTACCTACGGTCTGGCACTTGAGTTTTACCCCCAAAAAGAGAATGTGATCATACGATAATTCAATAGGGAGCGTGGTTTCACAGACGCGGAAGTGATAGTGTCGGTGAAACGCCGGCTGATCTAGGAAACCCCCAAGCGTTCGAGCGTCAACGAAGTGACACGGAAATGCCGGGCTTTCCAGAAGTAAGTAAGATAACTTACTATGAGCTGATAGTTCGTTGGATTGATCGGTACGTTGGAAACTCTGATCGTGAATCTGAAGAAACGATGACTGAGTGGTGAGCTGGAAAGGCGACTTCCGTTTATACGTTTTTTACAATTTAATTTTAATGTAACGTGTGGTTGTGATAATATTTAACATACAAAACAAAAATAATGAGGAAATTATCATGTAGATAATAAAATCTTAAACCAAAACAGGAAATTGATGTTAACCTTTGACCTCATTTTCCACCTGCGAACGAGTGAAAGGTAGAGCTAGTGGTAAAATGGATCGGTTTTTGTTGCCCACATTTCCACGGGTTCAGTCAGAAACAAATGAATCTTTGGAAGTGATCTCAGACCCACAAAAACATACGGATCTGGATGAAGAGAGTCAACCCTCAACCGCCGCAGTAGTCGAGGGTTTTGCCGCTGGAAATGCTAACACTAACGTTAGCTTACCTTGCAACACTATAGATGGTTTTCTGTGTGGCTGTATGTGTTTATGATTTCATGGACAAGTCAGCGATTGTTCATATGTTTATGATGTATATTAATGATTGTTTCAGGTGTTGTTGAGGTTTTGTGCACGCATGTGTATCTGCTAGTGTTGAAGGTGTTTTAGAGAACAATAGGTACGCATGACCACTTCCTTCATAGCACCCTCAATAAAAAAACTAGCTCCTTCATAGCACCTGCAGAAAAAAAATTTCTGGAGCCGCCACTGCTCTAGCCTATTAAAGAAACAAAGTTCATCCTTCTAGATATGCATTTGGGGGCTGTGCAAAATCACAGAAGGCCACAAATAGCCCTACGGACATTCCTGATTTGGAGCCACTATATTAAAATGCACATGCCTAAAATGTATCTAAACAAAAGCTGAGCCACTACTATCCAAACGGGGTTAGAACTTGTATAAATGTGCTTTTCATGAACCTCGGGGCATGGGAATGTACAAAATAATATCTCTGGAAGCTTTACTACAGGTCAGTTGATGCATGTCATAAACGGTTCAGTGGGTTTTGCCCTCATTCTATCACCTTTGTTGAGCTGATCATTTTTTCAAAACACCTTCAGACTAGCCTTCAGAAGGACAATATGAACATGTTTACAAAGTTTAATGTGAAAACATTTCAATAAGAATACACACTTTTGTTAACTAACTTGTTTAGGTAGTAATTTAGAACAAATAGTTGAATTACACGGCCTTAGTTTGTCTCATTTTGTCCAGATGCTCTCACCCTAACACTCAACAAAGCGTTTGTGTTGATCCAGGGCATGGCCCGTCCACTTAAACCCTCAAGAACTCAGTTAAGCAACAAAGATTAATACTAAAGTGTTCAGAGAATCTTCAGCAAAGCTGAAACCTTCCTTTGTATTTTGATTTGTCATTAATGTGGGAGTTACTGCCACCTAGTGGTGTGGTGCTCATGAGCCTATCCAGATGTGTGAAAACCTGCTCTCTGCATCGTGTCCAGACGTCAGAAGCGAACAGCGTCTCACTCTGTTCAGGCGGTGGAGGACCTGAAGGCTCGTGGACGTCTTGGTCGTCCCATCCTCTGCTCTCTTCACCCCGGCCAGGAGCTCAGGCTCTTCTGTCAGCTCTGCGACCTACCCGTATGTCTGGACTGCGCTTCCACGCTGCACAGAGACCACCACTGCTGTCCTACGCACGACGTCATCGACCATCACGGTGACCGTATTCGAGATCTGGTCAGCACGCGTCTACGACCCCGACTGGAGCAGATGGAGGAAGTTCTACAGAAGGTTCAGAGAGGCCGTCTCTAAGCCCATTCTTTTGTTATCTAAAACACACTTGGTGGTGCGGCTTGTTAAGCTTTGTTTTTTATTTTGTTTAATTTTTCCTGATATCCTGCTACAGGTGGAAACTTCCCAGGAGAATTTGAAGGTACGGGTCGAGGCAACAGCCAGTGAGATCAGAGCCTTTGCTCGAGGCTACGCCAGCGCTGTGGAGGCCCATTGTCTGTCTCTGCTGCGGCACCTAGAGGAGCTTCAGGTCCAGCGCAGGTACGACGGGGTTTCCGCGCAGTAGTAGCAACCAGGGCTGCTCGATTATGGCAGACATGATCATCACGATTATTTAACTGAAACTGAGATCTTGATTATTTAAGATGATTTTTAAATTAATGTTGATTTTATGTTTATATGTTTGTATTTGCTCATATGATTGCACAATCAGAGAGAAAAAAACATGAAAAATAGAAAGAAACAAGGTAATCGCAAAAACAACTGATTCCTAGTACAAAGGAGCCGATACACTTGCTCATGACTGAAGGAGTTTAACCCTCCACCCCGTCTCACGGCGCGTGCCGCGCACGCACATTTTCTCAGCGGCTTGGGAGCTAGGCCTTAGAGCCGTTTCATTTTGTAAACGAAACACTTCACTACAGCATTCCCTTCCGAATGTCCAGAAGGACGCTCTGACCTGCAGGAATTATAAGCGACAGTAGAAAGTAGCTAAGGGTTACCAGAAGTGTTTTGTAATGATTTAAATTACATGTTATTTAATAAGCCATAAGCCATATGATTCCATAGTAAATATGAAATCCACCTTATGGATCTGACTGTGGGTACTGTTTAACCAGAAGATTGGAACTTTTTATTGCAGGGATTAGATAACAGCTTCGAATTCACTCAGAGACAACAGAAGAGCGAGTCAAGTTTAAAAGTTTAAAGATTTATTACTAAACAAATTAAACTAGACTAACTTTAACACTAAATGTATGGTGTAACTAAGGTGAGTGAGACGGAGAATGGTGTAGTGTGGAATGTTGCTCAGAACCAGCAAATCCGAAGAAACGATTAGTTCTGAGGGGAAATGAAGGTGATGTCTTCGCATTAAGCTTTGGTTAGAAGGTTCATAAACACATTCAACGCCATTTGTCGGTCTACGTACCCGTCTAGATCAGGAGGTGTAGAGGTCCAGCTTGACCTTGTGGAGCCGGAGCATGTAGAAGAGCCACGGCAGCCGACCACCAGTCTTGAGATACTCCCAGGTCACGACAGTTTGTTGGCATCTAGCGAGACCCAAACCTGGGTCGTGATGGTTCAGCTTTTATTGTGAAACGAACCGTTGCAGCAGTTGGAACAGCAACAGATTTTATCCAGCTTGTCGTTGGTTCTTTTGGCTGAAGAGGAAAGTTACGGATTGGCCACTCCGACAACTTCTCTAGAACGCTTTGAACTGGCGTTGGAGATGGCGCGGCCAAAATTGGAGACCCGGCCTTTAATTGAATGCCTGCCTGTATTAGAGGATTTACGATATATATTTGGAGAACACTGTTGCTACACTTACTGCTTGTTTTACTGACGAGAGAGGTGAATGTTCAGCTGCATCCGTGGCGAGTGGCGTGTCAGATGGTTCGCTGAACGTGACAGAAGCGGCAGCTGCAGGAGCTGATTGTCGGCTCAGGAGAGTGTCCAGCGTCTCTCGTCTCTCCGAGGGTGTTTAGGCCCCTTGTGTGGGAAAATGGCCAGTAAAGCATTTAGTTTCTGCCCTCTCTTATACCCAGCCGCTCCGGTGAGCTCTTAAAGTATTTGTGGTTGACTATAAGCCTCAAACGCATCAGGAGAAAAATGTTGGGAACACAGCCTTCTTTTAGAATTCTGAAACTTTCTTTGGGAAGTTGTGTCCGTCCACAGGCATCTTCCCACTGCTTTCTCCTCTTCTTGCCAGTGGGAAAGCTGTGTAAAGTCACATCACTCCCCTTGTTGCCCTCTGACTGGAAATTACATCCAAAAGCAGCACAATGCAGCATTTTACTTAATAATTAATACAGTGAGCGCGTAAACAAACACTAGCGTCAATAGCTATTCTTCCAAGTGCAGCCAATATCCGTCATTGCCCCTAGAGTGCATTGCATGCAGAAAGCATGGCGTCCTGCATATGTCAAAAAATGTACTTAATATTTTAGATATATAAATAAACGGCTATATTTTGTGTGTTTCTAACAACATAGTTTGATACAACAGAAAACTTGTGGCTTATTAGGGCATCCACGTCCTCTTAGCCGGAGTTCCTTTTAAGATGGTGACTTCACATTTCTGTTTATAAATGTTCTTCTGTAGCCGACAAACAGCTAAAACATGTTGTTTTACAAGTATTATTCTCATGTCATGTTTTGTTCTCATATATTTATATCTTAGAGACTTACTTGTTCGTGAAAAGTTCATCAACTCTGCATCAGTCGAGGTATTCCTTAAATTTGAAGCATCTAAGCGGTAGTCTAATGATATTGGTTAGTTCTGGTCTGCACTCCGTTTCCTATTGCACAGAGCTCTGTGGGGCAGGGGGCGTGGTTAGCAAAAACAAAAAAAACTTGTCTTAGTTTCTACATTACATCACAGTACATGATGAGATAATCACTTTTACGGATTTCTGACAATCATACATCATTTCTGAAAGGGGAAAAGCTACTTTAAGGCCCTCGAGGCTAATAAATAAGTTTGGTAGTAACATTTTCTCTGCCCTTAATTATATTAATGTTTTTTTGTTTGGTTTTAAGCTCTTTAAACTAAACATCTACGAGTGGGACTTGAGTAAAACATTAATCTAAATGATGCGTTCAATTCCCACCCCTGAACAATCGTATTAACCGTGTTCGTGAAGCTCTTCTAACCAGAACAGAAAGAATGAAGTGATAAAAACATCAAAGCTAAACAGGAAGTGAATGCTTAGGAAACATTTATCCACCCGTCTTCTGCTGCTCAGCTGGAACTGATTGGTGGAAAACGGCCTAATCAGAGATCCCCTTTTTCCCAGTATCCTGCTTATCATTTGATTTTTCCTACTCGGAGGTGGGGATTTCCGAGGACAAATCAAATGCACAGTTTGTCTGGCCATGACCCACACAGCCGTGGGACGGAGTCTACAGTTGTCCTTCAGACTGTCTCTGCTACAGTGCAGAGTGGCTAGACCGGTCTGCAGAGCTAAATCTGTAGCGAGAACCAGAGTTTATGGAACTCCTTCCATTAATCATCCTATCAAATCTGACCCTGAGCAGCTGGTTATTCTTCAGTAACCTGTAACCTTTTAACAGCAGGACCACTGAACCCAAGCCTCATCTGTTTCCCACAGAAACGTCCTCCACCTGCAGAGCGTGCAGCTGCAGCAGGGCCTGCTGGATGTCCGAGGCAGTGTGGCGTTTGCCGAGCGCCTCCTGAGCTGTGGGTCTGACGCCGAGATCCTCAGCGCTAAAGGAGTGACTCTAAGACGACTCGCCAGCCTGGCAGAGAGAGGCTATAACCCTTGTCCAGCGGCGGTCGCCCCAGACGATAGCAGCAGCATTTGCTTCCTGCCCAGAGAGCCAGCCGGAGAGGTGGAGGGCTACCCAGTGGTGGGTGTGATTAACTGGAGGCCGCTGGATGTCAGCAGGTGCACCATTGAAGGAGAAGGTAAACAAAGGCAAAGTGGTGTTCTGTCTGTGTTCCTGTAAGATAAAGAGAAGGTGATCTCGGGACTGGGTTTGCACATCCTGTTTTACTGGTCACAGAAACAAGTCAGTGGTCAGACTGAGCTGATAGACCAGTGGGCGTTCCAGAATTCCTCCTGAACCAAAGGAATGCCGGTGTGACTCAACATGCCTTCTGGGAATGTCCTTAGAGGATGCTGTCAGGTCCAGACATGTAGACAGAAAGCTTCAGGACACTTTCTGGAGACAGTCATTTATTTAGAGCAGACTCTTCAGAAGGTCTGGAAACAAAAACGTGTTCTACTCATGTTCTCACCTCAGGAACCCACAGTAGGTTTGCTCGGGTTATATATGGCCCGCGGGCCTTGACTCTGACATATGTGCTGTAAAGGGTTGTTTTAGCACACACTGGCTCAAGAAAGTGACTTGAAAATTTGCAAAGTATTTAAGCTTTAAGGCTTCACGACCTCAGAAATGTAAAAACTTTAACACAAATAATCGTTATTTCAGTTTTGACCCAAATTAATCATCTATCAGCGGTTTAACATCTGAGGCATCTCTGTCCACCGTTTCTGCAGTAGCAGCGGTTTCATCAACATCAGCGGCTTCAGGATCTCAGCTGCTTGTGGACAACACTGAGTGATCAGATAATCAGTCTGACAGATGTCCAGCGTGACATTAATCATTGATGCGAACACAAAGTCTGTCAGCAGTGACACGACTGCAGCAGCAGCTGGATGTCTCGAGTGAGTGAAAGCGGGAGAGTCTGGAAAACTGATCAGCATCCGGAGCTGATCTGGAAGCAGTTGGCAGCGTTAGGAAGGACGGGAGTCATGGGTGGGCTGGGGAATGAGAGTTAATTCCACATTACAGCAGGCTAAACATCCAAATCCACATTAAGAGTCAACAGCAGATCTTAAAAGAGCTTCCTGGCTGGTGCCCCTTACACATGAACAAGCAATGTTTAGATTTATCCTCTTAGTCCTGCAGTACATTGTCTGTGTTCAGCTGTGTGACCTTTAACCTTTAGCCTGGTTACAGGTCTGCGGCGGGGCAGCGAGGGCCAGCCGGGCCGTTTTAGCCTGGTGTGTCGAGACTCAGCCGGGGAGCAGATGGCTCGAGGAGGAGAGCAGGTCCTCGTCAGCATCGTCCACAAAGAGAAGAAGAACTGGTGAGGGCTCTGCCCGCCTCTGTGGGGGATGCTTTGTTGGTAATGATTATTTGGTATGTATACTTTATAATACCCATTAATGGTTGTGTCCTTCAGCGCTGTGGAGACGGTGGTGGTGGACAACGCTGATGGAACGTACAGCGTTTCATACAAGCCTGAGGAACCAGGACCTTACTCTGTGTGGGTTTGTGTCAAAGCCCAGCATGTGAAGGTACTAAGGGCTGCACCCAAACAAAGGATACAGGTAGACAGGTGCTGGACTCACCTGGAGCTCACAGCTCCCCTCTCCTCCCTGCAGGGTTCTCCGTTCCTGCTGAATGTGAAGAAGAAGTTCAGACACCACGGTGGGACGTTCCACTGCTGCTCCTTCTGCTCCAGTGGAGGAGCCAAAGAGGCAATCTGTGGCTGCGCAGGAACGATGTCAGGTACTGGGGACAAGTCCGCTCACACAGGAAGCTGTCACTGTGTCACACCTGGTCTTTGGTATCTTACCAAGATGTGGAAATGAAAAGTTCTAAACTTTTAGTTTGTAGCAGGCGCTCTATAAACACGAGCTAACGCTCCAACCATTCTATCTCTGTTGGGGTCATCATGAGGGTCTTTGTTGGCCTGATGAATGCGAGATGTTTCATTCACATGGACCAGAGCGTGAGCCCGTCTAGATGTCCTTCCTGTGTCTCTGCAGGAGGGTTTAAAGGCTGTGGTCACGGTCATAAGGGACATCCCGGGAAGCCCCACTGGTCCTGCTGCGGCAGCACCACTGAGAAGTCTGAGTGTTTACCTCCGAGCGTGTTGGCTGCTGTCTCTCCTCGTGGACATCTGCGCACCGTGGAGCTGTGAGGGACCCAGAGATGAGAACACAGATCCATCTATATTCTTGTCGTTGTTATAAACAACATTACAATGGAACAAATGCAGAGCTCTCAGTCAAAAACGGTCTGTTCTCTGGTGTTCACATGTCTGTGGACAATTATTTCACCTAAATGAAAATGTGAAATCATTCTTTACTTGTTTCCATCATATAGAGGATTTTTTAATAAATGACATCTAAAAAAAAACACTATTAAATACAGCCATGATGTGTTGAGCTCCACTGTATCCCCTCTGTGGGCAGATCATGGCTCAGAAGAACAACACATCTCCTGGTAGACCATGCTGACTAACACTAACCCAGCTGAATGTTGCCGACCACAGTCTCCTCCAGTAACTGTAACAGCCCAAACCACTACACCACCTCCACCTTGGGTCTAATCCTAACCCTGGCTCTAACGAGGTTACCCTAACCCAAACCACTACACCACCTCCACCTTGGGTCTAATCCTAACCCTGGCCCTAACAGGGTTACCCTAACCGAAACCACTACAACACCTCCACCTTGCTTTTGTTGTGGCTCTAATCCTAAAGGTTGGTTTATGCTTGACGCGTCCGTGAGGTCCGCACGGCTCCGCGCGGAAAAGTTGCGTCATTTTAACAACCACGCCCCTCCACCGCGCCTCCGCACGGCCCAAAATTTCCGCAGCGCGCACCTAGGAAATTTTCTAACCACGCGGACGGTCGGACGCGGAAAAGCATGGCGGACCGGCAAGAACTAGTATGGCAGAGGTTCATAAATACAGACATTTGTGTGATTCAGCTCTCAGAGATCACCGCGATCAACATGTTGTTAATAATTCTTGGTGAGAAATAGCTCGCACTGTCAGAAAAGACAAGGACCCTGTTAAAAATGCTGGAATGCCATGTTGTAAACAACAGTAATTTTTACTTCTACTATGGTGTAGTGTTGGATGCATGTCGTAGAGCTCCATGCTGCCCCCTACAGTTTGGGAGAATATCGGCTCACCGCAGAGACAAGCCGCTTGAACCATAAACGCTGCAAGTTGTGAAGCGCGTTCCATCCGCGAGCCGCATCACCAAGCGGAAAGTAAATGCGTCAACCATAAACCAAGCTTAACCCTGGCTCAAACAGGGTTACCCTAACCCAAACCACTACACCACCTCCACCTTGCTAGTGTCTTGCCTCTAACAGGGTTTCTACACCAAAGAGGTTCCTGTGCTTGTCCTTAAAAAATAGTCTTGTGACCCATAATATCTGTCAGACAGATTAGACATACACGACTATTGTAAGAAAACCACCCATTTGTAGCTTTTCCCTCCCCCGCCCCCAAATTCCAGGATTTTAGGTAAGAACATATACAATTCTTGAAAGCAGAAAAACTGAATTTATTGGAGGAAAGAAGCTCTGAGTGTCTCTAAATGAGCTGCTGATCTGAGTAAAAGTGAAACCAACTCAGAGATTTTAGACTTGGAGCTCATGTTTTCCTCAGCTGTTCTCTTGGAACCAGCAGATGGTGCTGGGAGAACAGCCAGAGCTCTTGGTAATGGGAACACGAAGAACTGGTTCACTACTGGAACTGGAAAAAGTGGACCATCCATCCATTCCCAGTTGCTTAACCTTTTTTTCCTTTCAGGTTTTTATGCCATTAATTTGTGTTTTTTCAAGTAGTGCAGAATCACAAAGGTGGATCTGCACCAGAGTCAGCCCCGCCCATTCACGCAAACTCAGCCCAGCCCACTGACTTCTTCTGTTTGTTTTTTTTTTTGTTTGTTTTGTTTTTTTACTTTATTGCAAACTAACCTGACCTACATGAACTACGGCTGTTACTAGTTTACAGTTGTTAATACTAAATTCCAATTAAGCAAGATAAGTATAATTTGCTACATGAAATGAAAGGTTCTTTTCAGCAAATTTCTGCCCACGGCCGCTCCGACAAAATGCGCCTAAACCAGGGTTTTAGGCTAACCGATTATTGTATGAGCTCTGGTAGTCCAGTGGTGTAACGGTCTGACTTATGCTTCGTTTTGCCCTCTGCTGACGCTGGTTTGACTCTCACTGGGGTCGGCAGTAATGTATTTAGCCAACTGAAACAGATTTAATTTATTAATATTTTAGTTTTATTGATTATTTTCTACAAAATATTTTATGTCTCTAAAAAGGTATTTGAATTTGGTTGTTTCTAAGCAGCATTTTAGTTTAAACTCTGGACCCACACTGGCTAAATAAACAAAGAAGGTAAAAACAAACTGATTAGTTGTTATATTTTAAACCGTTTACCAATAAAGGGTTGAAAACACAATATTGGCAAGAGTAGCTAGGAAAAAAAAAGTTGATGCCACGACCGGGAGGAGAACCTGCACAAAACTACACACCAGTCTGACACCATAGTCACCCCACCACTACATCTGTTACAGTATGGTTGGTGCCACGTATCCTATCTAGTGTGTCTTTGTAGACGGATGGATGGTTTTTCTGGCGGTGTCCCAGTAGAAGTCATTTCAGAAGTCATTTTTCAGAAAATCCACAGAATATCCAGATCTGAGAACCAAGACCAGACCTGCTTCAGGGGGAGAAGAAATGCACAGTAGTGGCTTACTTTCTTCCATTTGCAGGAAAAATCTTTACATTCAATTCAGTTCAGAAATACTTTATTAATCCCAGAGGGAAATTGATTGCTGTAGTAGCTCTGAATAATAATAATAATCAAGTCATCCAAGAGTTATTGTATATTACAATGGCTGTTGGCAGGAAGGATCTCCAGTAGCGGTCAGTGTTGCAGCCAAACTGAAGAAGCCTCTGACTGAAGGCACTCTTCCGTTGTCGGACAGTCTTGTGAAGAGAATGCTCAGGCTGATTTAAATCAGAATAAAATACAAACTTTAGGCTTCAGTTAAGCTGCGTGTTTGCGTGTATCTGATGTCGGCAACAGCCGGGAAACGTTTGTGTTTTCTGAAAATAAAATGTTGCTTTTATGTGAGATCAGCTGATGCTGTTTTAACCTCCAACCCTCTCCAAAGCTGCTCTGACTTCTCCAGAGGTTTTGACCCACCCACCCACTCCTTGTTGCAACATGAAAAATAAAGTTTTCACTCTCAGTCCTGCCTCGTGTGATCATTTAAAAATCATTATTCATGTTATTAAAGCATCTCAGATGAACACATGAAGACCCGCTCTGCAACCCTCCTCTTCCTCACATGCTGCAGTTTCTGTAGCACCTGTATTTTTGGGCTCCCATGTTCACTTCTTCATTATTGTCATTTTTTAACTAATTCTTAAACTTTTTCCTCCATTTTTGATTCTGGTCTTTTTAAGTAATTATTCAGTTTGTTCTGAAGTGGAATTACTCAGACTTTGATTTCCCGAGGGGGTCATGGAAAATCAGTCTGTTTCTTTGGGAGCAAAAGTGTTCCTGAGCAGACTTTTCCTGCGTCATTCTCTAGAAAGAAGAGATCATGATAAGACAAACCTGCTGGCTGTAGTATCATTAACACTTGCCCTGGCCAGCAGATGGCATCAGATAGTTTAAAATGACCCTGTCATGACCATTTAAATGTCTCCTGTTATGTTTTTATTAATGCATATCTTCCATGAGTAGCAGTGACATTTGATTGGAAGCTGTCCCAGAAGGACGCTCCAGCTGTCAGGAGCATCTCTGCTGGATCCAACAGGAAGCTCCAGCAGATTGGATCTGAGTGACTTCCTGATTACCGGGTAAAAGTCTGGGGAGGAGAGGTTAAAGAGCTGAGATTAGAGGTCTCACACACACACACAGGTGTGGGTTGTAGATGACGGAGTGGCTTTAGGTGTGTGTTTCTGATTTCTGGCTCTGGTGTTAGTCTAAAGTCCACACTGAGTCTTTGCCAGAACCCATAAACTCCTTGGCCCTCCGTCGAGCTCTCAGGTAATGTTGCTTGTAATTGGGAGAGCCGATGATCATGATGCAGCGTTTTCTCCCAGCTGGGACACACCTTTTCTCGTGTTGAACATTTGACCCACTGAGCTTTTCATGCTGTCATCATCCGCCTGCTGAGAGTCGGTGGAGCCTGGATCCTGCCTCGGCCTTCAGGTGGTCTAAAAGACTTGAAGGTGGGAATTAAAACCATCACATCAAAAGTTGACATCAAGAGAAGTAAATGATCCCTGGGCTGCTTCATTTTTGAAGCTTTAAAAATAACTAGGACCTGTTTTATTATTGGATCTGCAGCGTGGGAGATGCCTTCAGTTTTTATTCAGCCCCTGAATCACCTGAGACTCCTGCGGCTTCGTGAGAATCACTCCCTTGAAGGCATATTTGTTCATTTTTAAGGGTTTCGGGGTTTAAGATGATGCAATTTTACCTTTTGTAGACAGCTTCCTGAACAGCCTCTGTTTAGAGAAATAGCGCTGACACCAGAACTTCCAGAATTCCAACTTCACTAGAATTTCCAGTAACCGTCAGTTTGACGGCAGCCATTTTGGCCATTAAATGCAGGCTGGTGATGACATGAACAAAACGGTTCAAGTGTATTATTAATTAACTCTTTATGGATGTGTGAACCTAATAATGAGGTATGGAAATATCCTTTTAATCCAAACCTTGAAAAGAAGTCTCCGTTGTTTGCTGGGCGACCGACATGGATCTTTTTCGTCTGACGGCTTGTGGGAAACAAAGACAAAAACAACCGTGTTTTTGGACACATTATTTTATGGAAATTCTAACCCAAATAAAGAACAAACAGAAATAGGAAAAGCCCGGAGATCCATCTGACTAAAGTTATTACATCCAAATATGAAAACAGTCAAAACGACAGAGTTCTAGTGTTAAAGCTGCAATGACCAATTAGCCTAAAAATGGTTTTCATGCCTCCTAACGTTCTACATGAATGAATATGTTTATTTAAGTGTCATGCACAACACGTGCCCAGACCAGACAGGCTCATAAGACACTTTTAAACATAAAGAAGTGGCCGTACATTTACACAACCTTTATTTTACATCAGGGGTGGAGTAAGGGAGGCACTTATGGGGCTTAAGCCCAAGCTGTTTTTGCAGAAGCCCTGTGTCTTTTGTGATGCATGGCCATCTTGTTTTCCATCAGTTCCAGTTCTGAAGTCCTGCTTTTGAACCAATACCATTTCAGTCCTGGTGTTTGATGTTTTCTTTTCATTCATGATGGTTTGCCTTAACAGTCCTATTACGGATCAGCACCTCCAAATCTGAGGCCATGGTCCTCGACCGGAAAAGGGTGGCTTGCCAACTCCGGGTCGGGAGAGAGGTCCTACCTCAAGTGGAGGAGTTTAAGTATCTCGGGGTCTTGTTCACGAGTGAGGGTAGGAGGGATCGGGAGATCGACAGGCGGATTGGTTCGGCGTCTGCAGTGATGCGGACGCTGAGCTGATCTGTCGTGGTGAAGAGGGAGCTGAGCCAGAAAGCCAGGCTCTCGATTTACCGGTCGATCTACGTCCCAATCCTCACCTATGGTCATGAGCTTTGGGTAATGACCGAAAGAACGAGACCGCGGATACAAGCGGCCGAAATAAGTTTCCTCCGTAGGGTGGCCGGGCTCAGCCTTAGAGATAGGGTGAGGAGCTCGGACATTCGGGAGGGACTCGGAGTAGAACCGCTGCTCCTCCACATCGAAAGGAGTCAGTTGAGGTGGTTTGGGCATCTGGTCAGGATGCCTCCTGGACGCCTCCCTGGGGAGGTGTTTCGGGCATGTCCTGCCGGCAGGAGGCCCCCGGGTCGACCCAGGACACGGTGGAGAGGTTGCATCTCCAATTTGGTCCGGGAACGCCTTGAAGTCCTGCCGGAGGAGCTGGTGGAGGTGAACGGGGAGAGGACGGTCTGGAGCTCCCTAGTTGGGATGCTGCCCCCACGACCTGGACCCGGATAAGCGGAGGAAGACGACGACGAGTCCTATTGCATTCACATTAGCCACTGGATAATAGCCAGCGTCAGGGCTAAGCCCCGGGTGAATGGAATATCTGGCTCCTCCTCTGTTTTCCATAGCAGGATAAAGTACCATTTGTCTGTTTCCACGCTCTCTATAAATTTTGCTAATGTTAAAATTTCTTGGTCAAAAAGCCAACTTAACATTTCACCATCTGCAGAACAAATGAGGATTTTTACTCTGGATCTTTTCCAACAGGGACATTCTTAGATCGTTATGTGATGGACTATAAAACAAGAAATGAAATTGAACTAAGTCACATAAAACACACTGACGTCGCACCTCCGCTAACCCTTGGTGTCGCCCCACTTCAATAGAAAGAGGCTGGTGTCACGGAGTGTGCAGGTGAGTGCAGCGGAGGTGAGGATCCAAAATGCGGGCAAGAAGGCAATTTTAAAGAGTTTATTAATCATGAACACACGGGGCATGCAAACAATAGACAGACAAGGAACACAGAAGTGGGAGGGTTTAACTCTGAATGAACTGCCAAATGAAAACAGGTGCTTCTTTAAATTATTTAATTATTAGATGAAATATTAAAGCTGAGATGGTCCTAAACTAAGCAAACGAGACAAACGATGAGTTCTGAAATCAACAACCTTTCTTCCTCAAATAAATTCAGTTCAGCGACAAAATAAAGTCTCAAAGCCCTGATCTGACGAACTTATCATAACGTACAAAGTAGCAAAGAAGGTGGAAAACAAAGCCGATGCCCACTTCCGGTGTTGCTATGGAAACAGCGTAAACACGTGTCACTACCCGATCCGTACCGGAAATCCGATCGGTACCACGCATGCGTGAATGTTACGTCATTTCCTCTCTTTGCCAACCTTGCGACAGTTACCGACGGCGGAGGGGGGGGCAAGATGGCGGACTAAGCAGTCGCATCCGTCTGAACTCCTCACTGAAGTCCCGATGTTTTAATCTTGAAGTTATAAAATCCACTCCTTTGAGCTATATTGACGACGTTTCAGCCCGAACATGAAGAAAACCAACAACACGAAACCTCCGGCAGTGAAAAACCTCCCTTTTACAACCCAGAGAAACAGCAAGCATGACTACCCAGCTCCGATGGAAACGGCTGATTCCAGCAGCAACAAGAGGGACAGACTGTTAACAACCCCTGATAATACTCCTGAGAAACCACATATGGAGAAAAAAGCAAAAGGTACGGCTAGTGATAATGACTCCAACACATCCACTGACACTATACTGAAAGCTATTGAGAGTCTTGGAAAACGTGTTGATGACCGCATGGACGAAGTTAGCAAACAAATTCAACAACATAGCGCCATGCTGGCTTCCATCGCTAAATCAGTGCAGTTTAATTCAGAGGAGCTGCAAGAATGCAAAAAGAAAATAAAACACCTGGAAAAAGAGATGGAATCAATCAAAAAAGATAATGACGATATTAAGGATCGTGTATTGAGCCAGGAAAGATACAAAAGAAGATGGTGTCTTCGTATCAAAGGGAAAAAGGAGAAAACAAATGAAAATATCAGAGAAGAAGTGGTGGAACTTCTAGGAAGGATTGCTCCGGACCTAAAGATGAAGATGGAAGAAGCAGTTGATGTTGTCCACAGAGTGGGAAGAGCGGTGGAGAATAAGCATCGACAAATCATCATTCTGTTTGTGAGACGTGCCGTGAGAGATGATATCTGGAGGCGAACAAAGGCTTCTCCCGTGTGCAAAGAAGAAGGCATCCGCTTTGCTGAAGACCTGACCCCAGAGGACTGGAGAGCCAGACAAGCGTTGTGGCCAAAAATCGACCAGGCTCGGAAGGAAGGCAAGGCTGCAGGCTTCAGGGGCCCTTTTGGTTTCATAGAAGGCAAACGTATCAGGGTAGAGACTCCAGGTACGGGCTGACATCTGACTACGAAAGGAATATACAGTGGAACATTTCGGATGATGGGACTTTTACCTCAAGATTTTCCTACTCCATCTCCTAAACTTCCTCTTTAAAGCTTTTCATGTGTTCCGTGTTCCAACTAAAAACTAATATTTCTTTTTTTTCCTTTAACACAAGGGGACTTAAAGACTCAATTAAGCGCAAAGCTGTTTTTCTGTTCTGCAAGGGGCAACAGGCAAATTGTTTTTTTCTCCAGGAAACTCATTCTGAGGAATCTGATGTGAAATTTTGGTCACAACAATGGGGAGATAAAATTTATTTTAGTCATGGTACAAACAGGTCAGCTGGGGTTGCTATTTGTTTCAACAGATGTCCTGGAAGATTTTTGTGCAACATGGCAGACAAAAATGGACATTGGGTTGCCTGTGTGTTAAATACTGATAATACTCTGATTATTTTGGTTAATGTTTATGGATACAACAATGATCAAGAGAATAAGAACCTGCTGCATCAAATTTCTACAGTTATAAAGGAACTTTATACCAAATTCCCTACTGATTATATAGTAGTGGGAGGTGATTTCAATGTGACTCCTGATGAATGGTTGGATAGATGGCCTTCAAAGTTTTCAAGAGAACGTATAAACCCAATATTTGAAAAACTCATTAATGATACTAAATTAATAGATGTATGGAGAGTGTTAAACAAAGATGTAAAACAATTCACCTGGCACAAACCTAATGGTCAAAGCAGGTCACGTATTGATTATTGGTTGGTATCCAATTCAATTTTACAATATGTTAAGGAAACAGTCATCTCTAACAGTCCCTTAAGTGACCATTGCGCCATTACTTCTGAGACTACAAAGCAAAGACCAAAACAACACATTTAAGGATTATTGGAAATTTAATTGTCAGTTGCTGAGAAATGAGGAGTATTGTAATTCTATTAAAAAATTAATTTTAGATATCCAGAATGATGAAGCCATCAATACACCGATACTCAAATGGGAATACAGTATCTTAAATTTAGAATCAGAAAAACCTCAATTGCATTCGGTAAAAAGTTAAACAGACAAAGAAAAGAAGAGGAATCAAATGTAGTAAAAGAACTTATGAATCTGTATGGCAAAGTGAATTGGACTGAGGAAGAAAAAGGGAAAATTAATAATTTACAATCTAAGTTGGACGAAATGTACCTTTATAGAGCCAAGGCTGCTTATTTGCGATCCAAAGCCAAGTGGATAGAAGAGGGTGAAAAGAACACTGCCTATTTTTGCAATCTAGAAACACGTAGACAAGAATATAACTCAATATGTAACCTAATAATCGACGGAGAGGAATGTACAGACCCTAAACGCATTTCAAATGAAGTATTTACTTTTTACAGTAACCTTTATAAGTCTTCATACTCAGAACAAAATGTCACCTCCTTCTTTGACAAAATCAGTAATTGGATTCCAGTAATTGATGATAATTTTAGAAAAATTTGTGATGAAGACCTGACTATAGAAGAATTTGATTTTGCTATTAAGAGCATGGCATCTGATCGTTCACCGGGACCAGATGGCATAACAACTAATTTCTATAAGCACTTTTGGGAAGACCTAAAATTACTATTATTCAGTGCAATAAATGAATGTATAAATCAAAAGGAGCTTATGACAACAATGAAACAGGGAGTTATAAAATTAATTCCAAAACCGGGGAAAGATAAGAAAAAACTAAGTAATCTAAGACCTATAACACTTTTAAATACAGACTACAAAGTTTTTACAAAAGTTTTAGCAACAAGACTAAAAACAGGTATTTCTGAAATAATTAGCCCGACACAATCAGGATTTCTCAAAGGACGGTTGATCCAAAATAATATCCGCTTGGTTTTGGACCTCATCGATTACAATTACCTAATTAAGGATGATGGTTTTATGTTGTTCTTGGACTTCCATAAAGCATTTGATTCTATTGAACACTCTTTTATTATTAAGACATTTAAACATTTTGGGTTTGGTGATGCATTTCTGGATATGATCACTATGTTTTATACAGATATTAATAGTTGTGTTTCTCTTTTAGAAGGCACATGTCCCAGGTTCAGGGTGGAGAGAGGTATCAGGCAGGGCTGCAGCATCTCACCTCTTTTATTTATTGTAGCCACTGAATTACTTGCTATTACTGTCATAAACTCAAACATCAAAGGATTAGACATAAATAATCACAAATTAATAATAAGTCAGCTTGCCGATGATACAACAGTCTTTCTAAAAAATAAAGAACAAATTCCATTGGCCTTAGATACAATAAAGATCTTTTCTGATGCTTCTGGACTACGCCTGAACCTGGACAAATGTGAACTCATGAGTATCCACAATTGTTCTCACTCTTCTTTGTATGATATACCTGTCAAAAATGAAATCAAATATCTTGGAATCTGGATAACTAAATGCATGGCTGATAGTGAAGAAAAGAATATTCAGAATACAATTAATAAATGCAAAAAAAACTCTGAACCATTGGCTACAGAGAGATTTAACGTTGTTCGGCAGGATAATGTTGACCAAGGTTGAATCTTTGTCCAGATTTATCTATCCAGCTTATTCCCTAGCCATCCCACCAAGAATTATAAAAGACATCAATAAGGTGAATTTTAATTTCATATGGAAAAATAAACATCATTATGTTAGTAACAGGGACTTGATAAAAGATTATGAAGAGGGGGGTTTAAAAGCAATCGATTTTGAAATAATGAATGGCATTTTAAAGATTAATTGGCTACGATCTTTCTTGAAAAATGATAATGACATCTGGTTCTTGATACCATCTCTTATTTTCAACAAAGTTGGGGGGATCCAACTCCTTTTAGTATGTGATTTTGAAATTTCTAAACTACCCATAAAACTTCCCAAATTTCATCAACAAGTTTTGTTAAATTGGAAATTAATGTTTAAACATAACTTCAGTCCCCACAATGTTCCATTGTGGAATAATAGGGTGATATTGAATCGGGGGAAATCTATGTTTGTGGAAGAATGGATGACAAAACAAATTTGGTCTGTGACACATATAATAGATGAAAATGGAGATATACTTGAATTAAACAGGCTTAATGAGAAATATAACATGAGTTGCTCGCTCGAGCTTTATAAAAAGGTTTCACAAAATATCCCAACAGTCCTTGTAAATACGGTAAAGAACAATTTTTCAAATATGCAGACTCCAAATTTACATAAAATTAAACTAGATGGTCTTGACTTGGTTGATGGAAAATGCAATAATCAGTTTTTAAGGAAGTATTTGATTAACACTTTATATCCAGGAAGGACAAAACATTCACTCATTTTTAGAGATTATAACAAATCTGAGATTTCGTTGATCAGAACCAAATATTTAACATTTCCAATTCCCCCCAAATTTAAAGAAGTCCATTTTAGAACTACAAAAAATATTTACCCCTCAAATGAATTTATGAGAGACAGATTTAAATTTGTGTTAGACAACTGTTATATTTGTAAAACAACTTCGGAAACAACAGAGCGCATGTTCTATGGATGTGTGACAATCCAGAATTTATGGAAATCTCTCCATGTCCTAATATTGTCCCAGTATGGATATATTGATTTTTGGTCTTTTCAAAATATTCAAATTGGAGTAATCCTTATGGACAAAAATAGTGAGTTTTTAGTTAACAATCTCATTATTATAACAAAGTATTACATACATAAATGCTGATATGCTAAATCCCCCCCTTCATGACCTGCTCTTAAAAACGAACTCTCCCTGTTCCGTAAATCTCTTAAGCTAATAAATAAGCCCCAAGCAATCAAATTGCATAGATTTTTAGAAGAGTTTGATTTTTCTTAGCCCCTTATTTAAGTTATGTGTCTTGTCTATGGAACCTCACTTTTAGAGATTTTTGATCCCCCTTGTCTTTTTTTGTTTCTGTTCCTTGTTTTTCTTTTTTCATTTTTCATTCTTTTTTTATTCTTATTTATTTTTGTATTGATTATTCATCTTTTTATATTATTTTATATAGATGTGTGAATATGGTTGTGTATGTACACATGTGTATATGCAAATATATGTATATATGTGTGCGTGTATATGTTTACTATTAGTTATTGTCGATCTCACTGTGATGTATAGGAGATGTGACTCTGTTCTGTTTGTTTTAATATGTCGCTTTTCTCCTTGAGATTGGTATGGAAGCCCATTCCCGCCACTCAGATAAAATTTAAAAAAAGTATTATCTCATAATTATGACTTAGCTATCTCATTATTATGAGATACTATCTCATTATTATGACTTAGTATCTCATAATAATGAGATAGCATCTCATTATTATGAGATACTATCTCATAATTATGACTTAGTATCTCATAATTATGACTTAGCTATCTCATTATTATGAGATACTATCTCATTATTATGACTTAGTATCTCATAATTATGACTTAGTATCTCATAATTATGACTTAGCTATCTCATTATTATGGGATAGTATCTCATAATTATGACTTAGTATCTCATAATTATGACTTAGCTATCTCATTATTATGAGATACTATCTCATTATTATGACTTAGTATCTCATAATTATGACTTAGTATCTCATAATTATGACTTAGCTATCTCATTATTATGAGATACTATCTCATTATTATGACTTAGTATCTCATAATTATGACTTAGTATCTCATAATTATGACTTAGCTATCTCATTATTATGAGATAGTATCTCATTATTATGACTTAGTATCTCATAATAATGAGAAAGCATCTCATTATTATGAGATACTATCTCATTATTATGAGATAGTATCTCATAATTATGACTTAGCTATCTCATATTTATGACTTAGTATCTCATAATAATGAGATAAATTCTGCTGGCCTCCACGGACTTCCGTTTTTGCACTTCCGTATTTTTCAAACTAAAGCAGCAGCGCAGCACACAACTTCGTTCGCGCTGAGTGGTCAGAATGGCTATTTGTACGCGTTTGCTGCTAGACCTCCCAAGAATAATGGTTAACGATGTACACCGAATCTTTCTTGCCTCGTCCGAAATGCCAAAATCTAGTATGGACAAAGCTTGTATTGTATGTGCCCGGCTACATACACAGCTATGAAGGTAAGCTAACAAACTTCTGCTGTGAGTTACTAAAGATGCTACACGCTAGCTCTCCACTAGCCTAAGTTAACACAATAAGGAAACGTTATTGGAGCGATAAGTAAGGTCATGCGTGTTTTTCGTGTCTGAAATTTAAAAAAAAAAACAGTTTTTATGTTATTCTCAGTTTTAATCATGCAGTCAGGAGAGGTCACGGTTAGGTCCGAGTGTTTCAGGTCAATGTGGAAAAACCAGAAGCCCCACCGTCTGAGTGTAGGGAAACGTTTCCCTGCAGGTTCAGTGCAGGATTGATTCAGGTTCAAAAGAAGACTGTTCATGTTTTTAAACGTCACATTTTTGCGAGTCATATCATTGCTTTTAGTTTGATAACAGGTTAATGACATGCCTGAACTACGTGTGTCATGTGGTATCAGAGATAAAATGTGTCCCAGAAAGAATATAGTAAGTAAAGTTTGTATAAATAGCATGTCACAGAAAGTCAAACATTAGATGACTCGCAGAAGCACAACATTGTTTACAGTTATTTTATTTTTGTCCACTACTTGTTCTACTCTTCTATTTTAAAATGAGTTAAGTGAAGTTAATCATCAATGTTTGTCTCTCCTTAAATGCAGTTGTACTCTAACAAATATTCTGTGTTGTAACAGATTGTGCTAAGGGATTCAAAGCCGGTGGGGGTGCCAGTGTATGTGTGGCAGGTGCAGCCTTGTGATGTCATGTGGCAGCTCAACTCTACCAGACGGCACATTTCTCCTAGCTGAAACTTACATCGGTCCCCCCCCCCCCCCCCCCCCCCACACACACACACACACAGTGTTCAGCTGCACAGAAACTGAACAACAGTGGCACAAAACGGGGACCAAGGTTACAATCTTTTAATGATACTATTATTATGTGTATACATATTTCTGTTATAACATTTAAACTTGTTTTTATTTGGAAACAAGGTATTAAACCAGGTCCAGTTAATGACATGGTCATCATATCAGCCAGACAAAGAGAGAAGAGACCGGTAGAATGAACAAGGTATGTTTTTCTTTCTGGACTGCACGCACACACACACATGCACACACCCCATTTGACTTTTGTTTTTCTTCCCAAGAAGCAGTTTGTAAAAAGGAGTCAGCTTCCCCGATGACAGCTTCATTCTGAAGGTGCAGGAGGCGTACCACAGACTTGGTGCAGATGAGGCTCCGGTGATGACAACCATGGCTGTCTCTGGTGATGTACCTCTGGTTGGGTCCACGTTTGGTTCGGTGCAGGAGGGAAGCGGGCCATCTTACCAACTACCAGTGAGGACGGCCCCCAGGACGCGTCCACACAAAGACAACCCTTCTCTCCCACAACTGTCTCTCTCTCATTATAGACTGGGACCCTCTGCATGTGCATTTGTGTTTACTGAACATCATCATTTCACATCCCTCACAACATCATTGGGGAAATCATACAAAGCTGAGAACAGAACACAATCGCAGAGTTTCTGTGTGGAGGGGCACCAACTAAGGAGATGCCACATCACTTCTACAAAATTTAGATAAGTGTGTCACACCAGGGCAGAAGGTTCTGCTGAGAACCTTGTGAAACAGCCTATGTGAACAAGTAGTCAGACTGATGACAAATGTTGGGGTCTTGCTTTGGAGCCTACAGCCATCAAGGAGTACTGCAAGGTAATAGAGGTAAACCACTACCCTTGTGGGGTCCTGATCCACCTTGAGGCACCATGGATGGGTTCAACACCAGATGGGATTACCGTAAATCCTCTAATACAGGCCCGGGCCTCTATTTGACTCAAGCTCATCAAGCTCCAGGCCTTTATTGGAAGGAGGGCCAGTATTAGAGGCAGGCCTCTATTTCCATTTGAGCAAAATGAACTAATGTTCCTTGGGAGTTTTTGACAATTAAAATTGCGCCCACATTTTCAAAGTTAAACACATTTCTTTTAACAACGGTAGTTTCTGCTTCAGCCATCTCCCCCCTCCCCCTGCTTTAGCCCTCTCCCCCCTCCCCCTGCTTTAGCCCTCTCCCCCCTCCCCCTGCGCAGCGGCCACAAACTCACTGATGCGCCTGCAGCCTCTCAGAGTTCCTGCTGCTCTAAACATTAAAATAATTATTTCATTTTCTGTTCCTCACTTCTGATTACCTTCAATGGTGGCTGTTTGTTGCAACAGCAGGTACAAAAACTAACTTGTTTTTATTTGACTATTTTTCTGTCCTGTCTGTTTATTATCTTCCTGCATCTCCTCTCAATCCTAAAGAAAAACTGCTGCCTGGGTTCATATATATTCACCTCATGAGTTACCTTTGAACTGCAGTTCTAAAAGATCTACCGACCGCAAAAACAGCGGAGCGCTCGCTGTTTGTCGGCCGTATCAGTGATCTGTGCGTCGGAGGACAAGGTGATGCGCGCAGCGCCCCGCTCCACAGCAGCGATACACATCAGGCGCAAATAAAAGACAGAAAACATTAAAGGAAATGAACCAACATGAACGATCGCGTGTCAGTACCTACGGTCTGGTACAGCGCGTTGCCCCCACCCCCGAGCGCAGGAGCTTGTCACCTGCTGACAGCAGACTGCTGTCTTTTCCGAGGGCTGCATCTTGCCGGTCATTATCACGTGACAGCGACTAGTCGACGACAGGCATAAAAAGTCACTATAGTGAAGTCGACTAGTTCATACACCCCCTACTGCTGCTCTCCAGAGTGTTCTACAGCATAATCAGCACGTTCTCTTTGAACTTGATAGTGTAATGACCTGGCTGGGGTTGTAAGCCAGGTGCATTCTGGGTATTGTGTTATATGTGTTTCCTATCGTTCTGCTAGTTCCTATGTGCTGATTTGTGTGTTGTGTGAGTGTTATGTAAGCCACAGGGAAGGTGATGTGTGTTCTGTGGAGCGGGTTGAATTAGCATGGTTAACTGACACCGTGACTCTGTGTGGTAGGAGCGTGATAGAGGATCGTGTCTGTAGCGTTACAAAGCATTGAAGAAAAAGCCTAATAAAGGTCTGCTTGAACCTCTACTGCCTCCTGCTGGTTGATTTGGGGACTATAACCCTGCCGCTGGGACGCTCGTACTTGCTTACTACATTCCACCCATACTTGCTTGTTACTACATTCCGCCCGGCCACAATAAGAGACCGGCCAATATTTACCTCAACTGACTTTGACACCGACTTTGACACCGGCCACAATTGGAGACCCGGCCTTTAATTGACAATTGGAGACCCGGCCTTTAATTGAATACCGGCCTGTATTGGAGGATTTACGGTATGTATGATCCTGAGGGCAGCCTGAGTGTGGCCTGCTGGAAATAAAATGCCTAAATGTGTGTAGCTTTGTGGATTATTATGCTCAGAAAAGGTTTACTCTCTGTGGCGATCTCATCCTCATTACTGGCAGGTCGGTGTTGACTGTTGATTTCTCCATGTGAGTGGTGTGACTTTGTTGTTTACACCACAGATGACATGTTTATTCAGCGAGTTCCCCGTGACATGGAAGTCATACAGACACTATTGTAATGTTTTCATTGCTGTTTAAATGTAAAGACTTACTGTGGGGGAAATTCAATGTAAATCTGCAGTAAAATTAAATAGTTCTGCACTTTCTTGTTTGTGATGTTTTGTTTGCTAGCTGAGTAATCATTTTTAAATGGCTTCAGTTTAGTTTCAAAAGATAAGATTTAAATTAAACGAATTAAAGAAGACTAAACAAAAACCGATGACTTATTTACCACAAAAGTGTTTGAAACCATAAACTTTCAATTTCTTTTTTTTATTACAAAACCATTTTAAACATACAAATACACATTTAAGCATGATATAGGTTTTTTTTTTAATTTTAAGAACTCTATCAATTGAGAAATTAATCATAACTTACTTTATTGCTGAGGTTTTGTAAAGGTACCGCATCTCAAGCCCTCAGAAGGGCACAGCACCGTTGAAGATCATCTGAGTGAAAGCTTTAAATGCAGTACCTTTATGGAAGTGTGTAAATATACAGTGTGGTTGCCCTACATGACTTGAGGTGCTCAGACATCAGGCTCCTTTGTGGGAGTGACTTGTAGGAGGAAAACACCTCACTCTGGAGGAGAGGGGAAGATGGACATTGACACATCAGCTCAGTGCAGTCAAGAATGACTGTGGTGTCTGGGTGGTCCTAAAAGTCTGCAGGCAGATTTGGCCTTATCTCCTCCTCTGGTATCCAGATCCTCACAGAGCCAAGTTCTTGATTTTCATCAGACCGACTACAGTTGTGTTTCAGAAAATCTGTCTCTGCAACTAGCAATAACCCACATACATACTTCTCAGCTCCCCATCAGAGGGAATGAAAAAAATACAGAATTGTACCTTGCTGATGCCTCTGTGTGTGTGTGTGTGTGTGTGTGTGTGTGTGTGTGTGTGTGTGTGTATGTGTGTGTGTGTGAGCAAACTCGCATGGTACACCCTGGACAGGTTGCCATTATTTACATTAAATAACATATATATGTTAATTTAATAAAATACAGTATATGTTATTTAATAACATATACTGTATTTTATTACTGTGGAAACATTTTAGGCAGGTGTGGAAAATGCTGAAAATAATGCTTTCAAAAATGGAAGTGATAATCATTCATTTTCATCAGTCAGCAAAAATCAGTCAATGAACCTACTAGAAATGTAAATCTATATTCAGTGTGATCACCCATTGACTCAAAAACAACATCAATTCTTCTAGGTACACTTGAATGCAGGTGTTGGAAGAACTGGGTTGGTATGTTGTTCCAGACATCTTGGAGAACAGCAGAGAGGGGAAACCTGATAAAAAGAAAATGGCAATTCTGACACCCCCGTAGTAAGTGGACAGCAGAAAAATCAAACTTCTTTTAACAGTTTGGATTACAATTATATATTTTACCACATTATTAGGTCTACACATCCACAGTGAGTTAAATTATAGTGCCATAAAACCATTTTACTTTATGATGCGAACAACAATCGCCAGAATGGCAGCTGTCAAACTGACGGCTGGTGGGAGAAAAAAAGCACAAAGTGAAGAAACCTTTACAAAACCTCAGCAATAAAGTAAGTTATGATTAATTTCTCAATTGATAGTTCTTAAAATTAAAAAAAAAACCTATATCATGCTTAAATGTGTATTTGTATGTTTAAAATGGTTTTGTAATAAAAAAAAGAAATTGAAAGTTTATGGTTTCAAACACTTTTGTGGTAAATAAGTCATCGGTTTTTGTTTAGTCTTTAATTCGTTTAATTTAAACCTTATCTTTTGAAAACTAAACTGAAGCCATTTAAAAATGATTACTCAGCTAGCAAACAAAACATCACAAACAAGAAAGTGCAGAACTATTTAATTTTACTGCAGATTTACATTGAATTTCCCCCACAGTAAGTCTTTACATTTAAACAGCAATGAAAACATTACAATAGTGTCTGTATGACTTCCATGTCACGGGGAACTCGCTGAATAAACATGTCATCTGTGGTGTAAACAACAAAGTCACACCACTCACATGGAGAAATCAACAGTCAACACCGACCTGCCAGTAATGAGGATGAGATCGCCACAGAGAGTAAACCTTTTCTGAGCATAATAATCCACAAAGCTACACACATTTAGGCATTTTATTTCCAGCAGGCCACACTCAGGCTGCCCTCAGGATCATACATAATCCCATCTGGTGTTGAACCCATCCATGGTGCCTCAAGGTGGATCAGGACCCCACAAGGGTAGTGGTTTACCTCTATTACCTTGCAGTACTCCTTGATGGCTGTAGGCTCCAAAGCAAGACCCCAACATTTGTCATCAGTCTGACTACTTGTTCACATAGGCTGTTTCACAAGGTTCTCAGCAGAACCTTCTGCCCTGGTGTGACACACTTATCTAAATTTTGTAGAAGTGATGTGGCATCTCCTTAGTTGGTGCCCCTCCACACAGAAACTCTGTGATTGTGTTCTGTTCTCAGCTTTGTATGATTTCCCCAATGATGTTGTGAGGGATGTGAAATGATGATGTTCAGTAAACACAAATGCACATGCAGAGGGTCCCAGTCTATAATGAGAGAGAGACAGTTGTGGGAGAGAAGGGTTGTCTTTGTGTGGACGCGTCCTGGGGGCCGTCCTCACTGGTAGTTGGTAAGATGGCCCGCTTCCCTCCTGCACCGAACCAAACGTGGACCCAACCAGAGGTACATCACCAGAGACAGCCATGGTTGTCATCACCGGAGCCTCATCTGCACCAAGTCTGTGGTACGCCTCCTGCACCTTCAGAATGAAGCTGTCATCGGGGAAGCTGACTCCTTTTTACAAACTGCTTCTTGGGAAGAAAAACAAAAGTCAAATGGGGTGTGTGCATGTGTGTGTGTGCGTGCAGTCCAGAAAGAAAAACATACCTTGTTCATTCTACCGGTCTCTTCTCTCTTTGTCTGGCTGATATGATGACCATGTCATTAACTGGACCTGGTTTAATACCTTGTTTCCAAATAAAAACAAGTTTAAATGTTATAACAGAAATATGTATACACATAATAATAGTATCATTAAAAGATTGTAACCTTGGTCCCCGTTTTGTGCCACTGTTGTTCAGTTTCTGTGCAGCTGAACACTGTGTGTGTGTGTGTGTGTGTGGGGGGGGGGGGGGGGGGGGGGGGGGGGGGGGGGGACCGATGTAAGTTTCAGCTAGGAGAAATGTGCCGTCTGGTAGAGTTGAGCTGCCACATGACATCACAAGGCTGCACCTGCCACACATACACTGGCACCCCCACCGGCTTTGAATCCCTTAGCACAATCTGTTACAACACAGAATATTTGTTAGAGTACAACTGCATTTAAGGAGAGACAAACATTGATGATTAACTTCACTTAACTCATTTTAAAATAGAAGAGTAGAACAAGTAGTGGACAAAAATAAAATAACTGTAAACAATGTTGTGCTTCTGCGAGTCATCTAATGTTTGACTTTCTGTGACATGCTATTTATACAAACTTTACTTACTATATTCTTTCTGGGACACATTTTATCTCTGATACCACATGACACAATAGTTCAGGCATGTCATTAACCTGTTATCAAACTAAAAGCAATGATATGACTCGCAAAAATGTGACGTTTAAAAACATGAACAGTCTTCTTTTGAACCTGAATCAATCCTGCACTGAACCTGCAGGGAAACGTTTCCCTACACTCAGACGGTGGGGCTTCTGGTTTTTCCTCATTGACCTGAAACACTCGGACCTAACCGTGACCTCTCCTGACTGCATGATTAAAACTGAGAATAACATAAAAACTGTTTTTTTTTTTAATTTCAGACACGAAAAATACGCATGACCTTACTTATCGCTCCAATAACGTTTCCTTATTGTGTTAACTTAGGCTAGTGGAGAGCTAGCGTGTAGCATCTTTAGTAACTCACAGCAGAAGTTTGTTAGCTTACCTTCATAGCTGTGTATGTAGCCGGGCACATACAATACAAGCTTTGTCCATACTAGATTTTGGCATTTCGGACGAGGCAAGAAAGATTCGGTGTACATCGTTAACCATTATTCTTGGGAGGTCTAGCAGCAAACGCGTACAAATAGCCATTCTGACCACTCAGCGTGAACGAAGTTGTGTGCTGCGCTGCTGCTGCAGTTTGAAAAATACGGAAGTGCAAAAACGGAAGTCCGTGGAGGCCAGCAGAATTTATCTCATTATTATGAGATACTATCTCATAATTATGAGATACTAAGTCATAATAATGAGATAGCTAAGTCATAATTATGAGATACTATCTCATAATTATGAGATACTATCTTATAATAATGAGATAGCTAAGTCATAATTATGAGATACTAAGTCATAATTATGAGATACTATCTCATAATAATGAGATAGCTAAGTCATAATTATGAGATACTAAGTCATAATTATGAGATACTAAGTCATAATTATGAGATAGTATCTCATAATAATGAGATAGCTAAGTCATAATTATGAAATAATAATTTTTTTTATTTTATCTGAGTGGCGGGAATGGGCTTCCATAATATGGTCATTGTTACTGTTCTAAATAAAGTTCATTAAAAAAAAAACAGTTACCGACGGCGGGACGTTTAAACAATGGATACCTCCGTATAGAGCTCCGGGAGTTGACGTCACTTCTCCCGGCATGCAACAGTTCAAATCGAAACGGCGCCATATTGGCATGCAGAAGCCGGCAGCTGGACTATTTATTATTGTCAGAAAACTCAATCAAACGGGAAATATGGTAGATTCCTGTTGTGCCCCAGGATGCAGAATAGACGCGGACGACATAAGGAATGAGCCATCTACAGGATTCCCCAAGATCCGGAGCGCCGCAAACGTTGGATCATTGTAATAAAACGCACTAGTGACCGGACGAAAATGAAGCTGTGGGATCCCGAGAGTAAAGGTTTTCGCTTATGCAGTGACCACTTCATATCAGGTACTTAAACCAACGTTTCCTCAACTGTGTATGGTATTTATTTTAAATGTTTTTATTATGATTCTTAGTGGGCTTCCTAAACTTATTTTGGCGTGGCTTTTTCTGTCTTATTACTCATAGCAGCAAGTAAACATCACGTAAAACGTTGCCTCGTGAGTTCTGCGTGCTGCCGTTTACGTGTTTTATGATGACAGCAATTAACCGGCTAAGCTGTATTTAATTTTTAAGCAATGGTTGATCAATCGTCAGATCACACATAAAAAGCACTTTGGATTGCTATTATCTGTGTCACCGAGACTACTTACGTGTAAATCTGTTATTTGTCCGTCCATCCATCCATTTTCATCCGCGTATCCGGAGTCGGGTTGCGGGGGCAGTAGCGTGACTTCCCTCTCCCCAGCCGCCGGAGCCAGCTCCTCCGGGTAAGTCCCAAGGGGTTTCCCCGGCCAGGTCCGGTGTTGTGCCGGTAAGAAGTCCGCTACGACAGCTTCTGGCGTTTTTAAAAAGTATCCCAGGGGCACGGTAAGGGTCAGAGATGTTTAGTCTATTTAATTTCTGACTATATAAAACGATTTCTTCTGTTTTAAAGTGTGAAGTAAACTCCGACGAAGTAAAATCCAAGCGGATCCCGTTCATGTTCATGGTTACATCCGTGTTTGTTTACCTTTTTTGCATGCCAAAATGGCGTCCACTAACTGAAAGCCACGTGGGGTCCGGAGCTCTATACAACGAAATTCATGATTTTCTCCTCAACGGAGAGCTTCCGGCGATTGAACAAAAGCGCTGTAAAATAAGAAGAATGGCGCCTAATTACAGACTTAAAGGTAAGTACGATAATTAAAGATGATCTTTTATCATGGTCTACAGGATGCAGGATGGCGCCGCAGATGGCAGCCTCGGTACATTGCTCTCTTTTGTTTGTGTTGTTTTTGTATATATTTTTTGGAAATCAGCGATGCAAAACGGATTACTTTCAGTAGAGATGAACTACTGGGTATCAGGCAACAAACCACAGAAACGGATTTTCAAAAATTTGAGGACCCGGGGAGTTTATTGGAAGTTTTAATCGGAGGAACTGCTGTTTGTTGGAGAAGGAAGCGCAGGAGGGGTAAACGAGCAGGATCGCTGGTGAGACTCCGCCAACGGGGATTTCGTATGCCTCTCCCAGCAATACACCTAGCGAACGTCTGATCCCTACCTAATAAAATGGACAAGCTGCTCCTTCTGAACAGGACCAACCGAGACTTTGCACACTCCGCTGCCCTCTGCTTTACGGAAACGTGGCTCAGTGACTTGATTCCTGATAATGGCTTATACCCAAGGCCGAATTAACCATATGGGCAACTGGGCAATTGCCCAGGGCCCACAAATTCTAAAGGGCCCAGGGCAGCAAGGGCACGAGCAAAATACTGTATCTGTAATCTCCCGCTTTATATTAAACTAGTGTGACCGTATACGTCCTGTTTTCCCCGGACATGTCCGCTTTTCACTTTGTCCGGGATGTTCGGGTTCTTGTATTGATGAAAATGTCCGGCTTTTCATCCCGGAGCAGGGATGGGGGGAGCTGTATATCCTACACATCCAGGGGAGCCGGAGAAAAGTTTTCCACCTATATTACTATATTATCATTCATGGATTCTTTTCAGCAGAGAGTGGCAGAGCGATGATCGGTGCGCAGCGCTCCAGGCTGCTGCGTCCAGCGCACGGTCCATTCTCAAAGTGTATGGGGTGCCATTTGTAAAGTCAAACAGTCATAATCTAACAGCAGTATTTTTGGTTATTTAGCATATCGTAAGAGGAAAAATTGGGAGTTCACTTTTTCGAAGTCATATTTTCACCATGTTATTCATACATTTATAAATGTTAAAGTTTCCAAATAAATATTTAGTTAGCAAGCTAAATATTTAATTTACAGTTAAATATTTATTTTGCAAACTAAATATTTAGGTCTGATCTAAATATTTAATTTGTAAAATAAATATTTAATTCACTAACTAAATATTTAATTTACTAATTAAATATTTATTTTGGAACTAAATATTTAATTTGTAAATTAAATATTAATTTTGTTAGTTACATATTTATTTTCCAAAATAAATATTTAGATCCCAGCTAAATATTTATTTTGGAGCTAAACATTTAGTTTGCAAAATCAGTATTTGGGAAATAAATATTTAAGTCTGACCCAAAAATATAGTGTGGAGCTAAATAACATTGTGGAAAATAAATATTTAGCTGGTACTTAAACATTTAACTAATATGCAAGTTCGCTTGCCAATAAGCGGAAGTTGGTTACCAAAATAAAAGCTGGATCTCGCTAACCTCTTTGTGAACTCTTGCTCCGAACCAGAACTTGTTTTGTCTCCGGTTCTATTCTTCTGAACATATCTGACGTGTTGGCTGAAAACATAGGACGAGCCGTTCTTACAGCAATACGGTCTTTTACAAATGGATCGGCACCAGCATCCGTCACAGAACCACCGCAACCAGTGGTAAGTTCATGACCGACCTGTATTAGCCTTAGCCCAGCTAGCTATAGCGCTAGCTAAGCTAAAACAGTTATATAAATGCTTTTTAAATTATTTTTTAGCGGGGAATTTGTGTATTTCTGACTATTGGGTTAACGTTTTATCTAGCTAAATGATATTTCTTTTAAAAACAGGTTTCCTCTCGGGCCACCGATGCAAATCTGAGACCAATCGTTGCAACCACCTCCAATGGAGGAGCAACGAGCCGCTCGGTAAGCATTTTCTCAAGTTTCCTATTATTTGACAAGCCCTTTGAACATTAATCAACTATTAATTTTTAATATTGTAATAACTATTTTAGCTTATACAAATATTACATTTACTAGTCATATTTGAAAATAAAGATATACACTACTATACTGTTATAAATTATATTTAATGTCATCCATATAATACCTGGAAGTTTGGCTGTCCGGAAAATCTCAAGATCCTAACCCTAACCTAACTCTAACCCTAACTTCAAAGGGGGCAATTTTAACAATTATTCGGCAGGCTGGATATGTTCCAGATATCAATAAATCCATTAGATTTTAATAAAAATAAATATTCCAAATAGCCAGTAGCATTATTACTATTCACAATGCACATTTAAGATATCTTGAAAGTAATTCTAAGACAAATGTCGCATATAAACATCATTCCAGCTATCTATTTTTGTATTTTACATCTGAACATATTTTTCAACTTGTACTATTTTAACTTTAGATGGGCAGAACTACAATCTTAAATGGCATAATTATATTCTGACCATCTGTTTTGGAATTGTTCATTCCTCCTATCCATAATGCTGTTTTTGACAGCTTGAAATTGGAATCAAAAACATTTTCAACTAGAAAGATTTCAGTTTCTACTATAATGTCCATTCAAGACAGAAAGAACCATAAATGCTCAAATGTAAGCAAAAAGTAAAATACTGCTGCTTCTAATATTAAATGTAACTACACTGTTTACAAACACATTTATGGTGACAACGTTTACACCTCACTCCATTCATTAGATATTAATCTAATGATCCACAATTTAATTAACACAAATATTATTTTTATTTTTCTGCTTTTTAGGTTCATGAGAACACTAACCACCCAGAACTCCCGCAAGACGCCAATTACTCGGTGAGTGTTGGATATTTTTCTAGAGTTGATTGTGTTACCACTTTTAATTGCTTATTCTAATAATTACCTTGTTGGTAACAAGAATACATTATTTGGGCGACGGTGGCACAGGAGTTAAGAGCTCGCCCCGTAATCTGAAGGTTGCAGGTTCAAGCCCTACTCAGTCTGTCGCTGTCATTATGTCCTTGGGCAAGACACTTAACCCACCTTGCCTGCTGGTGGTGGTCGGAGGGACTAGTGGCGCCAGTGATCAGCAGCCTCGGCTCTGTCAGTGCGCCCCAGGGCAGCTGTGGCTACATCGTAGCTCATTCCCACCAGTGTGTGAATGTGTGTGTGAATGGGTGAATGTTGTAAAGCGCCTTGATGGGTTCCAGGACTCTAGAAGGCGCTATATCAAAAACAGGCCATTTTGTCAATGACTGGAAAAAATTTGGGTAAAAAATGTCTAATATTTCTTTTTACCAATTTAATTTAAGTTGACAAATGGGGTCATAGCATCTGATGTTCCACAATTTTATGTTCGTCTTCGTCTTCGTCTTCCTCCGCTTATCCGGGTCCGGGTCGCGGGGGCAGCATCCCAGTTAGGGAGCTCCAGGCCGTCCTCTCCCCGGCCTTGTCCACCAGCTCCTCCGGCAGGACCCCAAGGCGTTCCCGGACCAGATTGGAGATGTAACCTCTCCAACGTGTCCTGGGTCGACCCGGGGGCCTTCTGCCGGCAGGACATGCCCGAAACACCTCCCCGGGGAGGCGTCCAGGAGGCATCCTGACCAGATGCCCAAACCACCTCAACTGGCTCCTTTCGATCCGGAGGAGCAGCGGTTCTACTCCGAGTCCCTCCCGAATGTCCGAGCTCCTCACCCTATCTCTAAGGCTGAGCCCGGCCACCCTACGGAGGAAACTCATTTCGGCCGCTTGTATCCGCGATCTCGTTCTTTCGGTCATTACACAAAGCTCATGACCATAGGTGAGGATTGGGACGTAGATCGACCGGTAAATCGAGAGCCTGGCTTTCTGGCTCAGCTCCCTCTTCCCCACGACAGATCGGCTCAGCGTCCGCATTACTGCAGACGCCGAACCAATCCGCCTGTCGATCTCCCGATCCCTCCTACCCTCACTCGTGAACAAGACCCCGAGATACTCAAACTCCTCCACTTGAGGTAGGACCTCTCCCCCGACCCGGAGGTGGCAAGCCACCCTTTTCCGGTCGAGAACCATGGTCTCAGATTTGGAGGTGCTGATCCTCATCCCAGCCGCTTCACATTCGGCCGCGAACCTACCCAGCAAGAGCTGAAGGTCAGAGCTGGATGAAGCTAGGAGGACCACATCATCCGCAAAAAGCAGAGACGAGATTCTCCTGCCACCAAACTCGACACACTCCACACCACGGCTGCGTCTAGAAATTCTGTCCATAAAAGTGATGAACAGAACCGGTGACAAAGGGCAGCCCTGGCGGAGTCCAACCCTCACTGGGAACAGGTCCGACTTACTACCGGCTATGCGGACCAAACTCACGCTCCTCTGGTAAAGGGACTGAATGGCCCTTAACAGAAAGCCACCCACCCCATACTCCTGGAGCGTCCCCCAAAGGGTGCCCCTGGGGACACGGTCATAAGCCTTCTCCAAATCCACAAAGCACATGTGGATTGGTTGGGCAAACTCCCATGCCCCCTCAATCACCCTTGCAAGGGTATAGAGCTGGTCCACAGTTCCACGGCCAGGACGAAAACCACATTGCTCCTCCTCTATCTGAGATTCAACTATCGATCGGACCCTCCTCTCCAGTACCTTGGCGTAGACCTTTCCAGGGAGGCTGAGGAGTGTGATCCCCCTATAGTTGGAACACACCCTCAGGTCACCCTTCTTAAAGATGGGGACCACCACCCCGGTCTGCCACTCCCTAGGAACTGCCCCCGATGACCACGCAATGTTGTAGAGACGTGTCAACCATGACAGCCCTACAACATCCATAGCCTTGAGATACCCAGGACGAACCTCATCCGCCCCCGGGGCTCCGCCGCTGTGTAGTTGTTTGACTACCTCAGCAACTTCTGCCCCCGAGATCGGACAGTCCATCCCCAGGCCTCCCAGCTCTGGTTCCTCCTCGGAATGCGCATTGGTGGGATTGAGGAGCTCCTCAAAGTATTCCTTCCACCGTCCGACTATAGCCTCAGTTGACGTCAGCAGCTCCCCATCCCCACTGTAAACAGTGTGAGCGAGTTGCTGCCTTCCTCTCCTGAGGCGCCGGACAGTTTGCCAGAACCTCTTTGGAGCCGATCGATAGTCTTTCTCCATGGCCTCACCAAACTCCTCCCACGCCCGAGATTTTGCCTCGGCAACTGCCACTGCTGCACCCCGCTTGGCTATCCGGTACCTGTCTGCTGCCTCCGGAGACCCACAGACCAGCCACGCCCTGTAGGCCTCCTTCTTCAGCCTGACGGCTCCCCGAACCTCTGGTGTCCACCAGCGGGTACGGGGGTTGCCACCACGACTGGCACCGGCCACCTTACGACCACAGCTAGCAACAGCCGCCTCGACAATCGCAGAGTGGAACAAGGCCCACTCGGACTCAATGTCCCCCACTGCTCTCGGGACGTGGTCAAAGCTCTGCCGGAGGTGGGAGTTGAAGACCGTCTTGACAGGTTCTTCTGCCAGGCGTTCCCAGCAGACCCTCACTATGCGTTTGGGTCTGCCAGGTCTACGCGGCATGTTCCCTTGCCATCTGATCCAACTCACCACCAGGTGGTGATCAGTTGACAGCTCCGCCCCTCTCTTCACTCGGGTGTCCAAAACATACGGCCGCAGGTCAGATGATACGACTACAAAATCTATCATCGACCTGTGACCTAGGCTGCCCTGGTACCAAGTGTACCGATGGGCATCCTTATGTTCGAACATGGTGTTCGTTATGGCCAAACTGCGGCTTGCACAGAAGTCCAATAACAAAACACCGCTCGAGTTCAGATTAGGTGGGCCGTTCCTCCCAATCACACCCCTCCAGGTCAAGCTGTCATTGCCCACGTGAGCATTGAAGTCCCCCAGCAGGACAATGGAGTCCCCTGATGGAGCACTATCTAGCACTCGTCCCAGGGACTCCAAAAAGGGTGGGTACTCTGAACTGATATTTGGCCCATAAGCACAAACAACAGTCAGGACCCATTCCCCGACCCGAAGGCGCAAGGACGCTACCCTCTTGTCCCCCGGGGTAAACCCCAACACACAGGCAGAGAGTCTCGGGGCTAACAAAAGGCCAACCCCAGCCCTCCGCCTCTCACCCGGAGCAACTCCAGCAAAGTAGAGTGTCCAACCCCTCTCCAGGTCTCGGGTTCCAGAGCCAATGCAATGTGTCGAGGTGAGTCCGACTATATCTAGCCGGTACCGCTCAACCTCTGCCACAAGCTCCGGCTCCTTCCCCGCCAGCGAGGTGACGTTCCATGTCCCAAAAACTAGTTTTCTTGTCCGGGGATTGGACCGCCAAGGCTCCCGCCTTGGTCTGCCACCCGATTCACATTGCACCGGACCCTTCATGTTCCTCCTGCGGGTGGTGGGTCCACAGTTGGACGAGCCCATGTATCCGGTTCGGGCTGGGCCCGGCCGGGCCCCATGGGCGAAAGCCCGGCCACCAGGCGCTCGCTCACGGGCCCCAACCCCAGGCCTGGCTCCAGGGTGGGACCCCGGTAACCCTCCGGGCCGGGTACTCCGACTCTTTGTTTTAACCGCCATGAAAGATCCTTCGAACCGTTCTTTGTCTCACCCTTCACCTAAGACCAATTTGTCATGGGAGGCCCTACCAGGGGCACTAAGTGCCCCAGACAACATAGCTCCTAGGATCATTAGGGCACTCAAACTCCTCCACCACGATAAGGTGACGGTTCAAGGAGGAGACAATTTTATGTTCCATTCTAATACTCTTTTTTCTTTTCAAGGATGAATTCCAAGGAAGGCATCAGATATCCAAAGAAGAGTTGGAAAATGTTCTTTCACTGAGAACTACCTTTACAGAAGCAGCTTCACTTCTTTCTGTTTCAAGGCAAACATTTTACAAGTTACTTAAAGATCATAACATCCCAGCCTCAAAATATGTCAGCATTAGTGATGAACAGTTGGATACTATCATATCACAAATAAAAACTGGACATCCAAATATTGGGGAAGTTATGCTTATGGGACATCTGCGCTCCAGAGACATTGTAGTTCAAAGAAGGCGTTTAAGAGAATCTTTACACAGAGTTGATCCAGTGGGTATCCAGTCAAGAAGATCATCCACTGTCAGACGAGTATATTCTGTCCCACATCCCAATTTCATATGGCATATAGATGGAAACCATAAGCTAATTCGTTGGAAGTTTGTTGTCCATGGTGCTATAGATGGGTACAGTAGAATGCTAATGTTTCTTCACTGCTCCAACAATAATCGTGCTGAAACTGTTAAAGACCTCTTCACTGTTGCGGTTGGACATTTTGGCCGACCACTTCATATTAGGACTGACCATGGAGGAGAAAATGTCAGAATTTGGGAAGATATGCAATCAATCAGGGGTGAAAGTTCTGTTTTAACAGGAAGTTCAGTCCACAACCAGAGAATTGAGCGTTTTAATAGAGACTTAAACAACAACTGTAGCAAAGTTTATGCACCAACATTCTATGCTTTGGAGTCATTAGGTTGTCTTAACCTGGAAAACCCAACAGATTTATTCTGTCTTCATTATGTATATTTACCCAGAATCAACCGCACATTGGAGGAATTCAAAGCAGCATATAACAACCACTCTATTTCATCTGAAGGAAACAAAACTCCAGTTCAACTTTTCTCACTAAACAGTTTTTGGCTCCACAACCCACAACAGTCAGCAAGAGACGTCCTCTCAGTAAGCGACCAGAGTGAGTTCATGCCCTTGACCAGCATGGAAATGCAAGAACTTTCTGTTACAATCAACCCTCTTGAAAATGACAATGATAATGGAAAAACATTGTTTCAGAGAACACAGCAGTTTGTTTTCAACAAACTTGTATGAATGAACTCCTAAGTCTGACTAATGTAACACTTACACTTTTGAAAAACTTCTGTAAATAAATGTTAGTACGTAAACTGAGCAACTGAAAAAAACTTAAACAATGAAATAGGAAATCACATGAATTGTGGATTTGTAGATCCTGTACCATATGTATTTGAGGATGTGAGGGACATTTGTGTTCAAATTGTGCTAAATAAAGAACCATTCATAAGTGCAACAAGGAAGCAGTAGTTAAATTCATCATCATCTGCTGTTGTTTTCGTGTTCACAAAAAGCTGAAGTTCATTTGCACATGTGTGTGCAATGGGATGAGTTTTGGTCTCATCATGTACAAAAGTTATTTTAGGAAGTGGATGAAAACCAACACCCGGGGCCCTGCTGCTCCCTGTTGCAAATGCCAGGATGTGCCCAGGACTCAAAACACTCACAAAGTTCTCATCTTCAGTCAGCATCTTGTCTGCAAAGGTGTCTCTCAGCTCCTTTTCTGAATACAGATGAAAATCTTTAGTTACTCTAGATCTTAAAGCTACAATGACAAATCTATAAAACAAGCAAGCTTAAAACATTTTCCATGGCTTTCAACAACATTGCAACTGTCAGCACGTGGCGGTGAGTGAAGCAGATGTAAGGATCCACATGCAGGTGAGGGAAACAGGCAGGCAGACAAACCAGTACGAGTAAAAGTATTTAATGATCACACGCTGGACAATGAAACAATGATCCACAAAGAGACATAGGCTGTGTCCGAATCCAGGGGTAGGATGCTTGTGAGTGCGCATTTTGAGGTCGATGACGTCAAAGCGCAGCGACGAGTACTGTCCGAATTCCAAGAATCCTCATTCTCGCGTCCTCAAACGCGTCCTTGCTCCACCCACATTTCGAGGATGGGTCTGATGGATCCTCACAGTAGCAAGGGTATCCCAGCATGCTTTGCGCGCCGGCCGCTGGACTCGACACTCGCAACAACGGCGGACGGAGCGGGACAGCAGTACAGCTTAAAATGTAAGTTAGTTCAAAAAATAGCGGTCAAAAAAATAAAATACGTGTTTGGGCACTTTTGGTTTGTTTTTTATATACGATCTAATACCGCAAATTGTTTTTTTCATGTAATTTAAGGCTAAAACATGCCCCCCGAAAACCAGCTCGAATGTTTAATAGGAAAAACCCCACCGTAAACTAGCTTCATCCCAGCAGGCTTTTTAAAAGAAAATAGCGGTAGAAGACTAAGCTGAAAGCGGTTCTGTTTATAGACATTCTTCGTTTGTATAAGTACATTTTAAGCAGAAATCAGCGAGAACGAGCTTGTATGGTGGTCCCGTCATAATTCCCATGTGTGTGTGTGTTTATTTAGCGAATAAAGCTTCTCATCATTTGTTTTAAGGTTAAAACCCCACCGTAAACTTGCTTGAAAGTCTAATAGGAAAAAACTCACCGTAAAAGAGCTTGCATCTTATGTAATCATGTAACGAACGCCAAAAATAACGAAAACTAAGTTTAATGTTTATTTAAGTTAATTTTTAAGAAACCACATTACTGATTTAATGTTTTTAATTTCATTTTAGACGGAAAAAAACAGAAAACAATTTTCATCTCCCATGTTGATAAATTAAAATATTGTTTATTGCATGTTTTATCAACTATGATTTATAATCTGACTTTGTTCTTCTATTCCTCTCTATTCTCATCCAGAACCAGTACCTTTAAGGAGCATCTGTAATTTCATTATGCCCAGTGTTCTCTGTTGTTAAATGACAATAAAGCCTTGTAATTCTAATTCCCTTTGTCTGTAGGACTGCAAGTATCCAGGGTCAGGAGAGGGAGTCAGCGGAAAGCCTACTGCTGAAACCTGGCCCTGGTTTGTCCCCATGGACGAGGTGTTGGGACAGAGGCCTTCCACTATGCATCCTGTCCTTATTGCTTCCATTCCCGAGGACACTCCAGGGCCAAGTGCAGCAGTGGGTGAGACAGAGGACAGGGAGAGTGGTGGAAGGAAGCCGGACTCCTCATCAGGGAGAAAAAGGAGAAGGGCTGATGAGCTCCTTGACCTGATCAGGGAGGACATGAGACAACAGAGGGAAGTGGAGGAGAGGAGAGAAAGAAGGATGGACAGATTTTTAGCATTGATGGAAAGAATGGCAGAGAAATGGTTTTTTTTTCTTTTAGTTTCTTCTGGTTCAGGTTCTATATATGTGTTTGAATGTTTTTGTTATTTGTTTAAATGTAATAAAATTTCTATTAATTGATAACTCTTTTTTGATCATTAACAGTTTTATTATTCAGTTTTTAACAAGTAACAACATAGTAAATAAATTGTAAGGGAACACTGTAAGGAATAAAAGTAAAGATAAAAGTAAAATATATACAGTAAACTTGGAAAGCAGGGAGTCTTTGGTGGTGTTGCTAAATCTACTAAACATGGATCGAGGTGGATGGAGTGCAGGAACCGAGATCCGTGGCTGAACTTTTCTGGTTGGCAAGTGGAACATCAGACAGAGTGGTCTGCAGAGGGTGCTTCTGGATGCCTCATCTCACTGACCACTGCATCGTCAATCAAAAGGGTTTGCTGGGCTGGCTCAATCGACGGCTGTCACATCACTAACATTCAGATATATGCAAAAAAGGAGATCATGAGTATACTACTTGTAACTCTAGCAGATAACAGGACTAAATGACTTTTAAACTTTAAATACAAAGGCCGGTGACGTTTATTGAGCCGTCGCAGCTCCTCAAAAACCACAAATAAAATGAATTAAAGCTGCAAGCAGCGTCGTTCGGCCCTCGCAGCTCCGCGCCGCTCCGGCCTGGCCGGCAGCCCGGGGCACCAGGGTACGTCCGCGGAACAAAAATTTTGACCACCCCGACACCAGAAACAGCTAACGGTCACCTCGTCCGCACCTCACCCTGACTGAGCATCCCCTCTGAGCACACCAAGTTTGGTGCAGTTAAGACCTCATCTGTAGGAGTTATTACAGTTTTAATGGTGTGTAGGGGGCGCTGTGGTGTTATTATACGAATTTCACCAACCATTTGTGTCTCATTGGCTAAAGGGCATGATTGTTCATTGCCATGTTCAGTCTCGTGCAGATGGGAGCCTGTTTGTGGAAGTTACAATCAAACGTAAGGTCATGGCGTCATGCCAGAAATCGCCATGGCATCAAAGCCCCTCCCTATCTGGAAAGCTATCAGATCTGAATGGTCATTGCAACATCATGAAGACAGTGCCTGACCTTAGTGCCATGTTGACTTATTTAGAGGGGACAAATATGGGCATTTCACCATAAAACAATAGACTTCCTGTTGTCAGGGGGCGGGGCTTAGGTGATGTCACCTGTCCACAATGACGTTGTCTTGAGATGTGGTCAGTGATCACACAGACAAAGTTTGATATAGATCTGATCATGCACATTGGAGTTGTTAAGTCAAGTAATGTAATGGCGAAAGGTCAACGTTTGAGGCTTAGCCACGCCCACACCTTTCAACTTTTGAAAAATCCGACAGTTGAATTTTTTCCTCTATGTTTTAAGAGTATATAGCAGAAGTTTGAAGGAGATTGGTGAAAAGGACGATGGAGCATCACTCTCCAAACAACGTGTGCGAAAACCACTAAATCGAGTACTTGGACCAAAATGGCCGACTTCCTGTGCGACTTTGCACTTGGCTCCAAGAGACTTTTTTGTAGGTCCTGAGACCCCACATTAGTGTACCAAATTTCGTAATCCTCAGTCAAAGCATGGCTTAGGGCTATTAGTTTAAATGATCCTAGGGGGCGCTATTTCAGAAATTAGGCCACGCCCACATTATTCAGCTGTCTATGTCTCTTGGGGGTCAGACTAGGATCACTCACCAGAAGTTCCGTAGCGATATCACGATAACTGAAGAAATGAGAGGCAAACGTATTTCCATGGCGTGATGGCGATTTTCGCCATGCTCCCAAAGCCCCGCCTTTTTTTGAAACCTGCCAGTACTGGAGACCAAGTGACCTCAAGTTGTCTACTGCTATTTGCCAGAGAGTCCTGCTGATTGGGTAAAAGGAGTCCAGTAGGGAGCTGTGAAAAAAAGAGTGGTGTGGCGACAGGTCAAAGTTTGAGGCTTAGCCACGCCCACACCTTTCAACTTTTGAAAAATCCGGCGGTTGAATTTTTTCCCCTATGTCTTAAGAGTATATAGCAGAAGTTTGATGGAGATTGGTGAAAAGGGCAACGGAGCATCACTCTCCAAACAACGTGTGCGAAAACCACTAAATCGCGTACTTTCACCAAAATGGCTGACTTCCTGTGCGACTTTGCTCTTGGGTCCAAGAGACTTTTTTGTAGGTCCTGAGACACCGCATTACAGTACCAAATTTCGTAATCCTCAGTCAAAGCATGGCTTGGGGCTGACAGTTTTAATGGTCCTAGGGGGCGCTATTTCAAAAAATAGGCCACACCCACCGGATGTTCACATCAGATTATTTGGGGGGCCGGACTAGGATCACTCACAAGAAGTTTTGTGACGATATCTGTAGAAATGACGAAATGGGAGGCAAACGTAAGGCCACGGCGGTACGCCTGACTTCGCCGCACCGCCAGACCCGCCCTCTGCCGAAAACTCCCATAATGTGACGCCAAGCAACCCCCACTTGTCTTGAGTTTCCAGCTACAAATTTGTGGTGATTAAGTGAAATGGGGCAATTTGGGACCTTTCACAGTAAAACTTGACCTTTTTGGTCCTGAGGGGGCGGGGCTTGTGTGATGTCATCATCCGACCATTCAGTTTACTTTGTGGGTGGATGACGACTGACCACAGAACGTTTGGTAACTCTATTCCATTCATTTATGAAGTTATAGCAATTTAAATTTTTTTGGTGAGTAGTCAAACTTTGAGGCCTGGCCCCGCCCCTTCAGTATTTACGAAAAGTCAATTTTATTATCTCATTTTGTTTGCCCATCTCTTCTGAGCAATTTGACACAATTTTTGAGACGATCGTGCAAAAAATGATCGAGCAATCCAATCAGAAACGGACCCTAAAAACGGCCAAAACGGCAAAAAATCGCCATTTCAACCCAAAATGGCCGACTTCCTGTTTGATATTGACCATGCTTGCAAGAGACTTTTCTGTGCGGACTGTTGAGTACTACAAGTGTACCAAATTTCATAACTGTACGATAAACTAAGCTTTATGGAGAGGGTTTTTTTCACTTTGTAGGGGGCGCTGTTCAGTCATTTTCTTTGCGATTTTTTTGGGACCTTTAAAATATCAAATTTTTCACCAGGCCTGACAAGTCTGCGTATGATAAGGTCCCCAAAAGGCCATTCAAAGCGGGCTAAGAATAATAAATAAAAAGAATAAACAGAGCAAAAACAAGAGGCCTTCGCAGCGCTTTCGCTGCTCGGGCCTAAATATTGCTGTGGATCCATTTTCAACGTCGCTACTAGCTTGTTAGCCTGTTTGCCGCCGTCACGGTAGCTAGGCAACTTGACCTGGGGGCGGGAATAACAACGAGGCTAGTACTGTCCGAATTCAGAGCCGCTGACTTCCGGTTTTAGCGGTCTTGCAAGGACCAGGCCTTGCTAGACCGGCGAGGACCCGTACTCACAAGCATCCTACCCCTGGATTCGGACACAGCCAGAGAACTGAAGGGGTTTAAATACAAGAGGGCTGGGAGCTTGGGTGATTGGAAAACGAGAGGCAGGTGGGAGCAATTAACAGAGACACAGGCAGAACCAAATGGGGAGGCAGGGCAGGGTGTGACAGTAACATAGCCTAGCTATAAATATTTTTTGGACATTAAAAACATTAATATAAATTGTGGTTTTCTCACATTTTTCAAAAAAAAAAAAAAAATGCAGATACACCTTGGTCCAAAACCAGCGATTGGACCATCCAGTCATCAGTGTCACCAAACCCCCACACACCTTTGACTTCTCCATTCATTACACATTTGCGTATTCAGTTTGTGATCAATGTTTCAGATTTGTCTTTTTGCATATAGTGTTTTCTTGACTATTCGTTGTAAACAAGAGATAGCTCATATTAAGCGGTTTCATCCTCTGGAAATATAAGTTTATAAATAAATGTAAATTTAGCAGCAGAACGCCACTGGTGTGAGAGGTTCCCTGCTCAATATCAGAAATGGAGAAACAGCCGGCTGCTACTATTTCAAGTTTAGGACAAACTACCAGAGTCCCAAAAAGAAAACCATCAGCTGAAGTTACAGACAAAACAGTGACTGGTGTTTGACGTCATCTTGTTTACTCTGGCAATGCTTGTTCCCATATCAGAGGAGTGTGGTCTGGGATGATAACCAACAGGAGGGGTGAGAGTTCTCACTGTGTTTAAAAGCTAACTTGTTTAGCAGATTTACCATTTTAGCTTTATTTGATAGAAGATGAATAAAAAAAAAACATGTTTCAACAAAGTAATCTCAGATTTTTACTTTATTGTGTCATGACATTAAACTTAAAATGCTTAACCTGCAAAAAAGTAATAATTAACCAACTTCATGTGCATGTTATTTTAACATTTATTTTTCCTTATGCACTCTGTGATACTTACTTTCAACACAATGCAGAAATTCCCTGAATTTCACCACCATCAACTCTTCCTTGGTTCTTCTGTTACTACCCAGTACAGAGTAGCTCGGCTTGAGAAGACCAGCAACTAAATCAGCTGTCAGAGTTGTGTCCTCTCTTGGTGTGTCCAACAGCACACGCACACTGGGGTTCTCTCTCAGAAGTGACAAGAACTGCAGGGTCAGTTAAGAAAAAAATTCCAAAAAGTGTACAACTTTCACAAGACAAGCAATGGCATAAGAAAATGTGATCATCTTTTTGGTCTTACTCCATAGTAGGTCAAACCATCAATTAGCTGATCAAGACAGCTCTGCCGAGTCAGTATGGCATGGTACAGTACTGCATTCTTTACAAATAGGTTTCTGTTGGCCATAGTGACTGTGAGTGGAAGACCTTCTACTTGAAAACGCCATGAGTCACAACTGCGGATTGCATTGTCCAGCTCTTCTTGTGTTGTTGCCTCTTCAACCTAAAATAATAAGGAAATGCTTTTACAGTTTGTCTTTTTTTTAGCCTTTAACAACAATTAAAAGAAAATTTGCTGTGCTTTCAATTTCTTTAGTGTTGGGTCAACATATAGAAACGTTAGCAATCAAGACATTTGGTTATGATAGAATCAACAATTTTGTTTATAAATAACACTTATTCAATGCTCATTGTAACCATGGTTTTAAAAAGCAACGCAATAATTGGTAGAGCAAGGCAAGTTTTAAATAAAGTCTCTACATATGCCCTATTGTTCTTTGGTCTTGCCATAATTCACATATTGTGCAGAAGTCTGGGGAAATTATGCAACATCAGTGCAGCCACTTGTTATTTTACAGAAGAGAGCTTTAAGGATTATCCATGGAGCGGGTTTTACAGATCATACCAATACACTTTTTTTGGAGTCCAAAATATTAAAAATTAAAGATCAAGTGGATCTACAGACTGTTCAAATTCCATTTAGGGCAAAGTGTAATAACTTACCTCTTAATGTTCAAAAATTATTTACACAGAGGGAAGGAGGGTACGTGTTAAAAGGAAAACAAAATTTTATATCACCAATAGCATATAGTAGGAAGAAAAGTATTTGTGCTTCTGTACAGGGGGTGAAATTGTGGAATAACTTAAATACGTATAAAGCTTAAGGAATAAATATAAAACAATTCAGGGAAAGCTTTAAAGAAATTATTTTGTTGCGTTATAAAAATTAAGGACAATGAAGTGGAAATGAAAAGTTAACGAGGATGTATGACTGGGATCGGAAGTTCTGTTGAAAATTTTGTTCCCAATACTTTGGAAATGCTATTGCCAACTTTTCACAATTTTGTATAAAGTAATAGGTTTTTGGTTTTGTAAAATGTATGGATACAATTAATGTACTGCAATTTTATATTAGAATTTGAAAAGGGGGTGGGAAGTAATAAGTGTTAAACTTCAGCCCACTCCATTTAAAGCAGCAGTGACTATTTAAAAGTCGTATGTTTTTTTACATAATGTTTTATGTTCTGTATATTGTGCATTGTTTATCTTTTTTCTTTTTGTGCGCTTGAAATAAGAGTTCAATTCAATTCAATTAAAAGCTTGCTTCTGGATTAAAGCTTCTGTATGCACTTATAGGAAGACACTAGGATAAGACAAATAGTTAAATGACACAGAACAGATTGATGGTAGGAATTATAGTTGGAATCTATGTAAAATATTATTTAAACTATATATCTCCTTTTCACTGAATTGATTAAATGACACATTTAAAAT